TACACTCTCTATGTATGTGTCGATCTCTCTCTCTTTATATTATCTGAGCCACCCTCTTTCCGGTTGTCACCTTCTAACTATTATTAACAATTCATAAACATTAACTAAAAGAGATGATATATGGTTAATCTAACAAATGATGTCAAAGATGTGAGGAACAAGGAAGACAACCCTCTCAAACGGGTTATTCATTACTAAAGAGAATTATAAAGAGAAAGGTAAAGAGGTAAAGAGAGAGAGAGGTAAAAGGAAAAAACATCTTTTTTTCCTCAATGATGCCCAAATTATGTGAATATTTTAAAAACAATAACCATTTTTGCATTAAACGAGCCGATAATCTACATGTAATCTGGCAAAACATACAAAAACCGTGGATTGTAAAAGAAGAATTTCCAAGCAAACTGATGGCTCCATAGACTTCCATCATGCCAATTTCCATTTTAAAAGAAAAAAAAAAGATTTTTTGTTTCCAAAAAAAAAAAAATAAATGAAACAACGAATGTTGGAGAAAGTAGCGACGAATTGCTTCTGTTCTCAGCTTCTACTATCTTCTGCTTCTTTTTCCTCTTCTTCTTCTTCTTCTTCTTTTGCTACTTCTTTTTCAGATTTCAGCTTCACAGATAAGCAATCAAGATTAGAACAGATAGAGGCAAAGTTCAATAATTACATATGGATTTTACAAATGAAAACGTTGTTGGTTGATGCAACTCTAGCTAGGAGAAAGCTTGTTGATTGAGCATTTACTAACATCGCCTCAATTCGTTTTCGAGCATTTTGGAAACATTTTCTTCTTCTTCTTCTTCATCTTCATCGTTTTCTTCGGCATCTTCTTCTTCCTCGTTTGTGCGTAAAAAGAATTCAGTGTCCTTTATATCTATTTGTGTGTTTATAACAGAACAATTGTCTTGTGTGCCTGAATTCAGGCAATCAGTTTGACGTCTCCTGAGGAAAGATTCCGACAATGTTTTGTTGTCTTCAAACATGAAACTCCTTATTCTACTTCCAAGCTTCATGTATACAATAAACATCTTCAACACTCTTCTGCTAGCTGTGATGGATGGAAATAATAAAAAATGAAGGCACCAATTCTTAATCTGATTAGAAGAGGCACAAATTCAGATCTTGCTTACTTCAATTTCCAATTTCGAGTAAGCCTCGACATTGGCCAAATTTGCCAAATAAGTTTATGGATGGACATCAAATCAACAGCCATTGACTTTGGATGTTTCTGAGAAATCAGAAGCCGAAAAAAAAATGAAAAACTCTCAAACATCAAATAAGGCCTTCATTATGAAGATGAGAGCGAGAATGAGAAGAGTGCGAGTGAGAGTGAGAGAGAGGGATATCCTTACTGTCCCCTTGTCATGACGTGAAGCTCAGGCTTGAGGAAGTTGGAAGAAAGAAAGAATATGAAGAGATAAGCAAACCGATGAAATATTTGTGTGAAAGAAAAAAAACGAAAGAGTCAGATAAAGCTGAAGCTTAACTATCACAAAAATATATAAAAGATCATTATGAGAGAGGAGGTATGAGAGAGAAAAAAAAAGAAAAAATACTGAGATAAGATACGTGAGTAACCTTTTAGTCTGGGCGATCATACAAAACAACTGCTGTTACATTGCTTTTCGAAACAAGAAAATTGATAAGACATCTTCTCCATTTCATTTCTGACTTACTTCAACTGATTATTCTATCCGACAAATTGAAATCTCGTCTGCCATCAGCAGCCTGTTGCAGCTGCTGCTTCTTCGCAGTCAGTGTGTTAGTGAGTTTTGAGCACATCACCTTGAACATCTTGTTCTCCCTCTACTCTTCTCTCTCTCTCTCTGTTCCATCGCCTGTTTTTACTATCAAAACTCTTGCTAAGCACTCTCTCATCTTTATTGTTCTTCACTTATTTTTTTTTCATTCACCCAGCTATCAGTTTGTTTCCATTTCTTGTTTCCTGTTTTTCACAATATTTTCGTGAAAAATTTTTCAGTTGAAATATAATAAATTTCTGAATCGTTGCCAGGTTGAAGAAGATGAGTTGAGGCAAAACAAGTTACAAGCTGACCATCATAATCAGCTCATTTATGCATCCTTATAACTCATTCTCATATATGCAAATGGAATATACTATACTATAGATGAATGCTTATCAGCTATCATTAACCAAAATAAATATTAAGAAGGAATGTGCAGAGTGGAAACCTTAACTCAGAATTTAACTGGCAAATACAGGCATGCATACACAAGCTAGCTAGTATCTAGCTACTGCAACATATATACATTGATGATACGTACATACATAGACACATACAGATATAAGAAGCAATCACATCAAACAGTTTCTGATAAATCAATCACATCACGAAAACTAACCATGAAGATCTTTGGATGCTTGCTGTCGTAAATGACGCGTTGATGATGATTCATGTAATCCACCATTACCAATTACGGTACTTCCATGATCTGCACGATGACGTGAGCCAGAATTCTGAGGAGTTGTGGGCGCGTTGCCCATTGTCAAATTATCTTCTTATGTTTTGCCACAAATAGATGAAAACAATGAGATGTTTGAGCAGAAAAAAACTGCAAAATCGGTAGAAGATGGAGAGGAATAAGCTGAAGACAGAAGAAGACAGAAGAAGACAGAAACAGAAAAAAAAATAAAAATAAGGAGATATGATAATGAGTTGTAAGCTGATGATGAATCATGTAAGGAGAATAATCGAAATGCGCTAAGACTACAAGTGTTTATATGAATTTCATGTAGTAAGAGATAGAACCGTTTAATGATTTTGATTTCACACGAAGATCGTAACGTGATTGTTCGATCAGTTCTCAGAATAGAATCAAGGAACACGTCAGTTGTTCTCTGGCAATGTCGGCTTACTCAAGACATAAAAATAGCCGATAAATCCATGATTCGCAAAGAGACAGCCTCACAAGCACAACAATCAGTTTGATCATTCAAATTATAATAAATGCTTCATCTAATGAAGGATATAGGTGTATGATGTGTATGCGTGTGTCAGATCATAAAACGGTACATTAAAAATCATTGATAATCATCTCTACGGCAACTCATTGAACTCGAAGGTGATGCGTAGGATTTGAAAAGAAAAAATCAAAAATAGCCTGATGGTGTGGTGAATGAGAGATCTCATTTCTAATTATTGAATTAGATAGAAATAGAGAAGAAAAGAGATGTCGTGGGTGGCCAACTCAACAAGTGCTGTGAAGCTGATAAAGTAAAAAGAGAAGAAGCAATGTAGGAAATGAAATGAGACAATGAGCTTTTAAAAAACTTGCCACAAAAATTTGAGAGAGCTCAACGAAAATTAAGAGCTTCTCGGCCGTTTTCTCAATATCTCTTTTCAGCTGCTTCTACTTCCTACTAGATACCAGTTACGCAAGATATATGTTACAGAGGCGTGAAATAAAAAAAATGCAAAGGACAAGCTTAAAAATCAAAATCATATCACAGCATAACGTTGATGAAGACTGACTACATCTTCAAACGGCTACCTATCTCTAATTCTTTGTACCTCTCTATCTTTCTTATAATATTTGTTGTTTCGTAGGATAGCATAAGTTGGATAGATATGATGGCAAGCTCACACACACGAAAGAGAAAGTTGATTTCAAAAAAATATTTCGCAAAAAAAAAATTGCTTTTGATCATCATTCTCATCTTCTTCTTCACACTAGAATACTGTATATGGTTAGCGAAGATGGGTAAATGAACGAAACCATGCTACATTCATAACGTATGAAAATAAAATGGATGAAAGCTAAACTTCTTGTCAGTTTCAAGATTTCAAATGATAATTGAATGAAATGATGCTGTTCAAGCCAATAAACTTATTCTCAAAAATGAAAAACATACATTGAATATCTCAAATAATCAAGGAGTATTAAGCTACGATCTTCTACTAATTGTATGTTGAAAGAGAGGAAGATAAAGTCAGAGAGAGAGGCAAAGAGAGAGAGGGAGAGAGAGAAATGCTTGAAGGAGGTTTGAAGAACGAATATGGCTTGCATGATGGCATATCATAAAAAGCGTTCTTTCACTTCCATCAAGCTAGAACCTTCTTTGAACTAACCAACAACAGTCAAAAGATTATCTTCAACTATCATTTCAACTTCTCTGAATAGACAGTATAGCACAAGCTACTAAGCTTACAATAAAAGCCCAGTTTGAATGAAAAAAAAATAAATCTCTAAGAATTAAAATGAAAAAGCGCCAAAACTATTTTTCTTCCGAACGTCAGTATCTAGGCAACTTAATTTAAGCAATAAAAGCAGTTTGATAAATATATAAAAACAATATGATTGTTTCACGAATAAGCAAAAAAGGAGAGTATAAACGAGAAAGAGAGAGAGAGAGAGGGAGAGAGAGAGAGAGAGAGAGAAAGTGAAAGAGAGAGAGAGAGAAAAAGAAGAAAATGAATATGGTATATGTAAATCAACTGAATAAATAGTTTCAAAGCATTAGTCCTTATATGATACATGTGTTTAGCATGTAGTGTAATCTCAAAGTAATCATAGTACACTCACACATCCCAAGTCTATAGTTTACAAGTAATATATAAGATTCAAATAATCAACTAATACAATAAGTCCAGTTATAAATATAATATTAAAAACTATAAATGGAAACAAACCTTCAATTCAACATATCATGTTAGACTCATGCATTCATGCAAAACCAATGAGGTTAATATAGCTTTTTCTATTTTTAGTCTCAAACTCATTTCCAGCTTCTGTCGAATCTCTTCTACTCAGGACAAAATTCGATTGTACAGCTTATTCAAGAATACATCACATGTATTTTGTTCCATTTTCAGGAAGATTTTTTCTTTTTTTGATTCTCTCATTCATCTACATCATGATCAGCATCATCTTTCGCCCATTCGCTCACTCATTCACTCACTCGATCGCTCGATCGCTCGCTCGTCCGCTTCGTTTCGTTTTTTGAAACCACTCTCAATGTTTTGAAAATGGAAAATAAACTAACCGTAAAATAAATATTGATCATTATTATTAATTCCATTATCATTTGCAGAAACTTCATGGCTTGGATATGAGTGACGAAAAAATGAAAGAAGGTGAATGGGTACAGATGCAACTCCAAAGACAGCCGCATAGGCGTTCCAATAACCCTGGAAATATTATATTAACAATTAATATTTAATTACTAGTTATGATATTTAGATCATATGAAGGAAAATTAAAGCTTCAATAGAACAACTTGCCGGTTAAATATGGCATCGAACGATAGCTCGTATGAGATATTCGAGATGTACTAGGAGGAAACTTCACATTAAACTTTACATGATGCTCAGAGCAACATTTCATGTCTACGTTCACGTTTAAGTTCACATGGAGGTTCACGCGGAGTTTCACGTGAAAAGCCACGCACACGCTACTCGAAATTGTACTTGATGATCTACGTGAAGTTGCACTTTGAATATGATGCTTCACGTGGGTTTCCACGTGTGTTCACGGGTGTTTCTTTCCACAACGCACTTTTAAGTTAAGGATCATAAAGAGCGGTTGTTTTTATTTTCAAACGAGAACCCACAGATGCAGCAAATCCACGCTCAATTTTTTTTTCAACGTCTAGCCTTATACAAACACAAACTGTACACTTTTAAGCTCATTCAACGGTGAAAAAAAATTTATAAAACTCATTGAAAGCAGTACCTGCCATTGAGTTGGTGTCAAATTTGAAGCTAACAAGCAAAGCCATTGCTCCCATGATGAAACGAGCGCATCAGCAGGAAGCAATCCAACATTGAAGAGGTGTGATGGTGATGATAATAGCATTTCCTGAAATTCTGATTTTATAACTCATACTATTTATAGTCTAATTGAGTGTAGAAACAGGATTCTTGTGCTTTTCTCTAAGAGGGACTTTTCATTCTATAAATATCTTCTCCTCGGCCTAGATATTAGCGACTACTGGCATCCTTTTTAAATAGACAATCTATTTCAAGCATAGCATCTTACAGTCTCATACAGTGATTCTTTTATAATTACAATCAGATATGAAATTCATACTGTAACTGACAAGTAGAAGCTATTTCTTTTTTTGGAAATTCCACTTGCTATAGGATCAGCTGTTAAAGTATGTTAAAATGAATAGTATGCTGGGTAATAAGGGGGGGGGGGATAGTGAGCAAACAAATGAATATATTGATCGAGGTTATTGGTTTGATCATTAGCATCATCATCAACAAATATTATTCACACTTTCTTAGAAATTAATTGAATATAATGAAATCATACCTGTAGTATAGGATCAAAGCTTTGATTTGGATTAACATATGGTTGGAATGCTGTTCTAGGCGTTGCGTCCATGTCTTCTGATCCAGCAGAAGTGGAAGGCTTATCCACAAACTCTTCATCAGAGCGAGGACATTCATCATAAGCATAGATTTTGTTTAAGGAAGATAGTGAAGATATTGTTGTGGCAGTACCAGTGAGGTTGCAATCTGTATAATTCATTCTATGTGATACAGCACATGAAGATAATGTATGAAACCTGAGCGTGATTCTTCAAGAGAGGACATCACCACATCTTCAGTTTCAACCGTTCTGATAGGGATGGACATGATGACGTTCGTCACTCAAACGAAAAGGTAAATAACCGTAGATGCACTATTCTTTCCAGTAAGTAGAAGAGGATCGATCTGAATGAAAGATGAATCAGTTAATAAAACAACTCTCAGAAATCTTCGAATACATTAGACTGAACTTCTTCGATTCAAGTGAGTCATGAGGAAAGACTTAATAGATTCGAAAAAAAAGACTTGCAAAACTTATCAGAAAAGATGAAATACATAACTAGAAGACAACAATCATGCACAATATACTATCATTTGAATATTCTAAACAGCGTTAACTCTTATGAGACATTAAAATGAGTTTGAGAGAAAAAAAAGTAAAAGAAACGAGAAGCAGGCACTAGTTGGTGGGGACAGGCGGGGATAGGCACAGCAAACAGAGAGACTGTATATGAGATAGTTCAGAATTAGAAGAGAATGTTAGACGAACAAAGACAGTTTTGTGGCAATACAAACTTGTGTGTCAACGGTTTGTACTGATGAGAATGAGAGACAGAAGAGGCGAAATGGGAGAGAGGCGTAAGGTTTGGAAAGGATTCAGAAGATGTCGGTACAGAGGCAGTTTTGGCTTACATTCATTATTCTTCAAACAAGAGTTCAGTCAGCTCTCCGATCCTTTCGAAGTCGGGTCTGTTTGAAACCAGAATTGAAGATCATCATCATCATTACAATTCTCCTCCGTTTACTCTAACTCTTTCGTAATCCAGAACTTTTTCATTCACCTGAAATGTCCATATATTCGTGTAAGATAGCCAAATATGAGAATGATACCCGGAAGTTTCTTTTTTTCCCTCAATGTTTCATAGTAACCAAGTCAAGTTTGAGCATGTTATTGTCCGATCCACAACTACTCGTTCGTCTCTTATTTACTTTTCTACCAACCCTATCCTTTACCAACACCTTGCCAATCATTTTTTTCCAAAGGATGCGACCCAACGAGCTATACCTGGAAAGCAATGAAAAAACATTATCCAAACATGTATGTCATACAAATATTATGTGCAGTTAAGAGTACTCATACTATTCGCTATATGCCTATATTAAGAGAAACGAACAATCCAGATACATTCTTTATTTAACTAGAACATAATTTTTAAAATGCGCGAAACAAAGATCACAAGGCACTAAATTGAAATCAATAGGTCAAACTTCATTTGACACTTCCATTATGATTACTAAATCTAACATTGTTGTTGTTGTTATTATTGTTGTTGCAATTGTTGATGTTGTTGTTGTTATTGTTGTTGTTGTTGTGGATATTGTTTGATATACCATTCAGAGGTGAAACACCTCGAGGGCATCCCATGAATTGTTGCAAAGGACGTTGTGTTAGTTCGTTAAGATACTCGGCATAACTGAAATACCAATGTGAATTCTTTAAATAGTTTTGGAGCTCCACCTGGTAGTCCTACGCCGGCAGAATGATCTGGTATAAACACTCCAGAAGACCAGAAGACTAACGACACAACAAACAATAAATATTATGAATATCAAAGGTGTGTAAGAGGAGGTAGCCAATCGAACGACAAGATCATGAGCTGCAAGATGTTAATTTAGGTGATAAGTGAAATTGTATATCTTACCAACGTGACAGTTCGTCTCATCTCGTCCATAAGGACAGTTATTACGCTGATTACAAGCTAAAGCTTCGGGTACACAGTTTTCATCACCGCAACTGAGCATAGAATGAGCAGAGCAATTTTTATCTTAAAATGGAATAATATTTGTATGAAACTAAAAAAAATATTTCACATCTATAATAGGCAGAGTACATTCCACTGAAAAAAGTACTATTGAGATAAGAAGATGAAGAGAGAAACACTCGAATGTACATTTGATGATGAGAAGTGAAAACAGTTGAAGCTGATAAACCGCAGAATCTTAAAATATTAAGAATGAACAGTAAAAGGTTGAACTTTACATACTTGCGAATTGGCTGATTAGATTTCTCCCCCGAATAGATTTCGATGAAGTTCTGGCTGCATTGATTGGGATATTTTAAGATAAACTCGTTGATATAGAAAACAATATGATATCGGGGTTCAACTTGAATTCTCCAAACGCAATCTAGTGAGCTGCTTGGATCCTAAACAGAAATGTGTAAGAAAAGTAGTTCATAATGCTTTTCTAACAATTGAATCAGAAAGAGAACGTATATCAACAGTTCCATCAAGTCCTCCCAGCTTGTCAAAATGACATTCTGAACTTATAAAGTTATTTATAAATTAATTATATTTTACCATATTGTTTAGACAAATGCTGACTCTTTGATCGAACTAATTCTAAACTCGCATGAAATCCCCGATATTGCAACTGATCATCAGAGCGAAATCTTACCCATAAATATCCTAAAGATTTCAAATAAAACTAAAATGAGCATTCTTTCTTACCAGATTTGGCTAATATATTGTCTGTTGGTATTTGCATACCACAAAAACGTCCTAGCAATGGGGAAAACCCATATCTCCCATCTCGAAACTCCTGAAGTTTTGTAAACAGATGAAATTTAATTGAAAACTAACTAAGAAATCATTCGGACAATCCGATGTGACGTCATGTACATTTCGTGAGCCATCATATGACGATTCAACCTGAAATATGTAAACATGATGTAGTTAAACCGTAAGAGTCTTACCTGGAAGAATTCTCTAAATACAACGCGCATGTCATAACCAGGGGATGTGAGACGTATTGTTCGGACGCAGTCCTGATTAGGTGGATAAACATCTGAATAATATACTTTATATATCTTTGTTTACAAGTAACTGACTGGGATACTTTGGACTGGCGAATGAATCGCGAGGGAGTCCTATACCAAGGAAAGCAGCACATTTATCAGAACTCCACACCCGAACTACTACTACTCCTAAAATTGTGAATATTGCAACTTTTTCATTACAATGTATTTAAAGTATCATTTACTATTTCATGATAACCAACTGTTGGATAGATGCTCTTACAAACTTGTTATCCATTATTGAGTTATAAACCAGAACATATGATAAAGACTTTTCTCATGTTTTTCGCATACTGCACAAGCTTTACTTTGAGAAAACATTTTTGAGGCTCACAACGATGTTCAACCAAAAATAAAGATATAATAAAGAATAACATGAAATATATAGCAACTCTATCATGAAACAGCTGTAAGCGAAGAATGCAACCGGTTAACGCGACATCGAATTTTAAAATGAACCGTAAATTGCAACCGTTTGAAATAAAAGAACTTCCGCCTGCAGCAGACGAAAAACTTACCCAATAGTGCGGTGAGCAGCTCCGTTCGCATGTGCAAGAGAAGCGTTTTATCATGGAGACTAAACTAACTAAGGCATTCCATTTAAATTAGAAATAGTCAATCTGAATTGGAAAGCTAGCAAATATGTCATGTAAAAATAAGGAACTTGAAATGAAAAATTATAAAATCTTTTATATAATCGGGAAACATACAAAATGAAAACGAATAAGAATGAAGTCTCGTGTGTTTCTTTAACATCTTTTGCTGCGTGTGCGCTTCCAATAAAGAGAGTGTGTATTTGCGTATGTGGATATGAAATTGGGCGAAAATGAGATTATCAGAAGATGTGCCCAGCGGGTTTCCGCAATTTTTATTCAGCGGTACTTCATACATAGTAAGTAACAAGAAAAGTCGTGAAAATATTATGAAAACGAAGAGAGTGCTGACAAGGGAAGAAAAAAGAACAGATTGTAAAAAGAGCGGAAGATGATATGCATATGAACAACAGAGCTGAGAAAGTCATGCTTTTCTAAATTCCTTCCAGCCTCCCACACCAACTAATTGGAGTTGAATTGTTAAAAGGCTCAGAAATATGGCCATTATAAAAGCTACCAGATTTGAACTACCCAATAATCACATTGCAAACTTTTTTTTCGAAACTTGAAGCATGTTAACAAGCTTCAATTTAGCCATAAATTAGTTCTATGCTTCATTCGCCTAAAATGAATGGTCGGAATTCAACTCATTTTCATCCAAATACTACTAGTTTTTTCGGAATATTTCTATCCCAATGGGTATACACAACCCGACTAGAAAGATTTAGATTTAAACTCAAAAAAGGATTGCATCAAAAAAAACTATCTGAAGTGAAACATTCGAGATCAAGGCTGTGAAAAAAAAAAGCTAAAGAATTTGTTTTCAAAGAAAATGAAGTCCGGAGTAACTCAAAGTGTTAACGGGCGAATGCTCAAATGCAGAACGCGCGGACGTCTTTGGTGAAAAGAAAGGACATGAAAGACAATACTGGAAATCAGTGACTTGGAAAATGTGCAGATTATGAAAGTATTTTTTCGTTAAAGACATTTGAAACAGCAACAGAACGATAGTCGACGTCATATGTGCGGAGATCCTAAATTAGTTCCGTTCCAATTTTAGTTCAGGACATACATATATCAAACCGAAGGGTCAACAATTTTATTATAACTGAAACAATTGATTACGAACGCTCTTGTCTAGAGCACATATAGCATATAACTTCCAAACTGTTAACTAAGATTCAAAAGAAAAGGAGTTCATGATTTGGATTTGCCTGGGACCGGAAAACCGTAAAGATAATTCAGTATAGTAAAGCTCAACAGAATGATTAGGAGAGTGTTTGAACTGAATAAGGAATTAGATAACTGGTTAAGTGAAGGCATGCGTGAATTTGAAAACTGCGAAATTATCAACATAGGTTGCAGGATGAACACATTAAATCAAAGTGACAGGAACAAGAAGACTAGAAAACATAACAGTTAAGTAACGAGTTCAGTTTACGGTTGTTAATCCTCCAACCAAAGGCCCTGCCAACGTCGATGTTCCAAGTAAAGATTCCTCATGACTGTGGTCATGATCGTGACTGTCTATTAAGCGAAGAAGCCCAATAAGACCAAAGCCCAATATCATTACGACCAGCTTCAATAAATTTGGATGCTCATTATCTCTTTCGTGGAGTAGAACCTAAAAAACGTGATAATGAGCAAAAGTTTCTGAACCACTTGTAAATACCTCGAAGAAGGTGACGTACAAGAATGTACCAACAGCTAAACCTTGTAAAATGGTAATTGTAAGATCTTTTCCAAAACTAGCTTCCGTAGCGGATTGTAAGACCATGCCAATAAGAGCTCCAAGAGGACTCATCAGAGCTAAAGTCAGCATGGATACAAAGACCTTGAAAAGAATGTATCAGGAGTCTTATTCTCTAATTTACTCACCCATCCAAGCTGGTGAGCATGTGTTCTGCTCAGTTGCAAGCCAACAGAGAAGGCAACAATTAACTTATGAACGAGAAGAGATAAGAACAAAGCAGTAGTTTCGGCTGCATTATTCTAAATTTTAATGTTATTTAGCTGCCAAATAAATTCGTCACTTACTCCTACGCCTAGAGCTACCCCTTCAATGATGGAATGAATGGAGAGAGCAAGAACTAAAGTGACGGAACGAACACCGTGAGAGTGAGCATGAGGTGATGATTTCATTAAAATTGGAGGATCCTCATTAACTAAAAATAGACGAAATAAAACACAATTTCAATCATTATGCGATACCAGTTTCACAATTTGTTTCGCATCTTTCAGGCTCTGCAACGGCTAATGGTTGAAAAACTCTGGAATTTATGTATTTAGTTGGGCACTCATAGAAAATTGAGGATCGAGTAACAAAAGGAAAAGACTTCATGGAGAGGACGGATGAAAAGAGAGACATTCAACGGAACATAGGATTTTAAAACTGAAAATCACCGGTAACCAGCACTATAACTTCGAAAAAATTCATGTTTTGATAGATTGGACGGAATGCTTCCATATGAACGACGTGATATTAGTAATTCAGTAGATCGGGATCTTTTGCTACCCAACAAGATTGTGTCCGTGCTATGATGAAAAGGAACTCACTCGTTTTGCGCAGCACATTCCGGAGTATCACGTCCTGTGTTTTTTTTTACTTGATGAACTGTTAAAGGACAATGTTTCTGACAATGTCCAGCAGCTTCCACATCTTCATCTGAAGAACTTTCTCCGGCTACTTCAACTAGAATAATATTTGATTTCAAAATACTGTTTCAAGTTGTTCCTACCTTGTACTTCCTGGACAGGTTGATTAGGAGCCGGGAATCCACTTGTCATACAACAACCACTTTCATTTAAACCAGTTTGTAATGGAGTACTAAGGGAAAGAAAGAATATATATATAACAAAAAAACAATAAAGTACTGTTCTGAATGTGGATGATGGTTCCCATGACTGTGAGAGTGAGCAAGAGATGGAATAGCTAGAATAACAACCTGAACAAAGTTACGTTTGAAAGACTAATACGCTTTCATACCTCTTCAATGAAAAACAGAAAGAAGAATCCAAAACAACTGAGCAGTTCTGCTAACGGATAATTTACGCGCCAATTATATTTCTGAAATATTAGAAAAGCTATAACTCTTGTGGAATTTCTTTTTTCACCTTATCAAGGTCATCAACGTTCTCTACCAATTCGGGGAATAAATGGAGAAAGCAAGTAGCTAAGAAAACACCTAAAAAAAACTTTCCCTTATCATCAATGAACTTTCTATCAAGTAAACCTCCTGAGAAACAAGTCAACAAACACAAAACAAGAGAAACATGCTTATGTTGCTGAGAAGAAGAAGCGTTGGCTGCACTATGACGAAGATAACGCAGAACCTAATAATTGAACTATTTGATAATATCAAGATTGTAAAATCCTCATAAAAGAAAAGAAACTCACTCTCATCGGTAGAAGCCCTACAAACAAGGTGCCCAAGATCATAACGGCAATAAGGATGAGTTTGAGAACTATCAAATCCATTTTGATATTCTGCAAATTAAAAGGTGAATATAACAGCTGAGAATCGGGAATATTGATCAAAAAAGAAAGTATTGAGATCGGCAACATGAAAGAAAGCTTTTCATATTAAAAATCTGATTATGAATTGAAAGAAAATATTCATAGAACGGAAGAATATCATTTGAGAATATTTGACATTGCCGCCGTATTGTAAACTGAAGGCAATGTTAGAACGTTTCGAAAGAAAACAATATTTAAAGGGAGGATTTCTCCAATATTTTTCTTTCTCTTTCCCTTCAATCTTTACCAATGCTGTAGCTTCGGAAACCTTCAAACTGCTTAACGAATATTGAAACTTAGATTTAATCGGAGCTGCAATGCACAGCTTAATTTTCGCCGCCCCGTTTTTTCGCGTCGAGACCAATACGCAACAATTATTGTTTTAAATTTCCTTATCGCTTGATAAGGAAAACTAACGATATACCATGAAAAGTATCATTTTCCGAAAGAATTAAACCGATTTAGATTAAAATTCTAGGTATTACAGATTTTTCTTGTTTTCGTTAAGCAGTATGGCATTTGATAATGTGAGAGACGAGGTGGCTGTGCATATTCGAAGCATTAAAGATTTTCCTAAGGCGGGGATTAATTTCAGGTAAAGCTCATAAATTCAGAGGTTTGAATTTGAAGGATTATAGAGATGTAATGCCACTTTTTCAACAGCCGAAGCTTGTTGACAAGATGTGTCGAGTTATTGCGGATTACTGTAAAGGCAAAAACATTCAAGCAGTAGCAGGATTAGAGGCCAGAGGTTATAATATTTCTCTACGTTTAACAACAACCACATGATCGATGTAAGGCTTTCTCTTTGGTCCACAAGTTGCTATTCTTCTTGATGTCCCGTTCGTTCCAATACGTAAGAAGGGTAAACTTCCGGGAAAATGTATAAGCGCTAGCTATGTCAAGGAATATGGAGAGGTTATATTTGTGCAAATTGAAAAGAATCCTTTCAATCTTAGGATGTTGTTGAGATTCAAGAGGATGCTGTTAAGCCTGGATGGCGAATTCTTTTGGTCGATGATTTACTAGCTACAGGGGGCACCCTACGGGTATGTTGATCCTTCAAGAGAACTGAACCAATATCCCTATTCACTGTTCAGGCAGCCATTGATCTCATCAAGAAAGCTCATTGTATTGTTGCCGAAGCTTTTGTGTTGGTCGAGTTACAATCTTTGAAAGGAAGAGAAAAAGTTCCGGAAGTTGACATAACTACTTTGATTGCATATCCAACAGAATAATAAATTAATAAAGAAGTTTTAGGAATTTATTGCCTAGCAAATTAAATACACAACATGCGCGTTAAATATACCTGTTATTAGGTGACATCATGGAGTCGGAATAAAACTTGCTTTACTCGTCAGCGATGCTGCGAAGAGACCATAAAAATGACAATATAAAAGGTACAAAATTTCACAAAAACTTAGTTTCAATAAATATGCTTGGAGGTAATGTTGTAAAGACAGCATCACAATATTATTACGAGAAGGCTTGGCAAGATTTTGAGATTTCAAACTCAAAAACAAAAGTGAACTGAAGAGATAACAAGATCCTCATACAAACAATGGTAAGTATTAGAACTACAAAGTATTTACAAACGAAATTTACACCGAGATGTTGAGCTAAAGCCAGAAAGTAGGGTTTCCCTATTATGCAGACAATTGGGTATCCTCACTTTTGATGTCATGTTGATATTTTTGAAGGTCATCAATGAAAGTATCTAACTTAACCATCTCTGCAGTTAGATCTTCCGTTGAGTTCGATGGCTGAAACTGATTTATTACTCGAGCACAAAAAGAAAAATATACTTGAATATCTGATAAACTTGTTGTTGGATGCAGTTCTATTTCATTAGACAAAGGTTTTTTCTCCATCTCAGTGTCAGAAGAGCATGTAGCGTATGGACTGTAGATATTACTGACATTCACTCTAGGTTGCGCCGTTGCTCTTCCAACTGGGAGTTGACGACCCCCTGCAGCTACAACTACAGGTCGACCACTACTTGGTGTGTTCGCCAACTGAGTGAAAGATCTGAAAACGTTTATGAAAACGAGAGTGGAAAAGAGCTATTCACCTTAACGGATTGCCACCTGGCGGTGTCCCTCGTAATGTGCGGTAACCATCAACAATAGGTGGCCCTGATGGAGGTCCTCCTAGAGGCAGCGGTGGAGTTCCAGAGTTTAGTGCGGAAGATGAACCATAAGGTGAATCATTATAATCAAGTTTAGACACATTGGGATGTCTTCCGCTTCCAGTGTAGACTACTTGCGGTGTACGTTGTCGGCCCTCCAAACTATTTGACGATTGATGATAACTCCGAGAAAGAGTTGTTTGACCTGAACAGATTTAGTAATATGCATAAAAAAATAAGTAAAAGGGAAACATGCAAAGCGTGCTAGACAACATACTATCTTCTGTTCCATAACTATGTACTGAAGCAAGCATTGGTTTAGCTCTTCCTATAACAGGCCTTCTTTCTTCTTCGTACGACGAAACGGATTGTCGAACTGGCGTTCGCGAGTTGCGCACCGATACTGATCCATAAGCGGAATCTGGGAGACAACACATTCACGAGCACAATAGGGATTGGGGAATTCACATGTGTTTAGGAATAAACTTGTAAAATTGAAGTGCGGACAGAACCGAAATGCACATGCTTGGTAATAAAAATCAAAAACTAACCTTGTAGTGGTTGGTACCTTGGAGGAGGAGATTCCACAACATCTGGGCCAGTCAGACGCTCAACTAGCCCTGAGCTCATGCCATCTACCATGTAATCAGAAGCTATGAATATCTATATAAAACTTCTTGACAAAGTAAAACTTACGAGCTCCACGTATGTGACTTCCACCAGGATGATTTATCCATAAATCTCCGTTTCCACTAGCGTTTGATCGCTTTCCACCATACCCATTCTTGTTGGAAGAGCATCTAAACAGCGGAGGTTGACGGCTTGCAATTTTTCATACCCTTTATAACAGCATAAGATGAGCGCTATCGATATGATAATAACGAATATTACACCTAACAGGAGTAAAAAGCTTCTGTCGGAAAGAATTTTACTATAATTCCAGTGAGAATCTGATTCTGTCGGAGAGCTAATAATCGACTTCTCCTTATCCAAAGGTGAATACGATTCTATAGGCGAGAAAGGTCCGTAGCCTGTACAAAATTATGATGCTTGGCGGAATGAAGCAACCATGAAACGTACCTTTTTCATTTCTTGCTTGAATTTTAAAGTAATATACTGTCCTGGGTAGCAAGTTGCTTGGATGATAACTAAGCCTATCACCACGCACATAAGTAGTGGTCCAATTTTTATCCGGTGCAGAAACTTTATCAGTGTAAAATATAAGATACTCTGAAGTTCAAACGTTAGGGGATTCGACTGAATGTGGCACAACCTTCTATTTCGCCGTTGGCATATTTAGGTGGTTGCCATGTCAAAGAAACAGATTGTATATCACCGTTTGCCGCGGGTAAAACCGTCAAATCCCTTGGAGCAGATGAAGGTGGGGCAGTGAACGTTCTTAGAAGATAACAAATATTAAAACAGTGATGTTGAATAAGAACCTATCAATCGCAGACATACTCCATTGACTAACACTCCCACTGCTAGCCAGTGCTCGCACAGCAAACTCATACTCAGTGGCAGGCTTAAGCCCGTCGATTATTATGTAAGGTTCAGAAGAGTTTTGAGTTTTCATAACATTGCCATCCGCACTAGAGTCAGATAATGAGATGAGTGAATAAAACGATTCTGTACCTTGTGCTATATCTAACAGTATAGTAAGTGTTGAATGCATTAGGATCAGCTTCGGTCCAAACTACTCTCATAGATGTAGCTGATACAGCCTCGGCTCGGACACCAAGAGGAGTCATGGCCGGGTCAGCATTCTCAGAATCAACTACAGACACACTCTCTTTTTGCAATGTTCTAAACAACTAAACTAAGAAAATATGAGCTTTCAACAACTCACTTAATCGTTTCATAAATGGGGAACCCGACGCCTTGATTATTAGACGCTCTAACTGATATAACATATTCTCTTCCCGGTTTCAGATTTTTTATTTTATATTGCATCACGTTACTTGGTACCATGACAGTGGAACTATCGGGAACTCCATGACCCCATCCGACCTGGAAAACACATGCATGGAAACGAAAAGACTAGCTCAAAACCTGATATTCTCGAACTAAACTGGACTCATCAGATGGAGGTAGCCAAGAAACAATAATATGATCAAGGCCGGCGATAGGGCCTATTTCTCTCGGAGCTCCCAAAACTACTTCTTCTTTATCACGGAGAAGTGTAGTGACATGCAGCCAGTCCGAAAACTCTCCACTTCCATTCTGAAGTCATTACGATGAGGTAAGAATTCGAACAAACTATTACATGATTCACAACTGCCATCCTAACCATATACGGAGTGTCAGGCTCAAGTGAGTTAATGGTGTACTCCCTTTTGTCCGCATCTACAACGTTCACGTTCCCTTTCGTCCCTCTACTTTTGGTTTTGTATTTTATCCTTAAGATAAAAAATCTGATCTTTCTGCAGTTAAATTACTTACTTGTACCCGGTGATGTTACCATTCACTCCCTCAACAGGTTCTTTCCAAGTTACTCGCACACTTGTACTTGAAATAGCTTCAACAGCGATCTGTTTCGGAGGTTCCCGAGGAATATCGGAGAGGGTGCGTACTGAGACCGTGTCACTACTGAGTCCACTACCCTTGTCTCCGTCTGCTTCGACACGGATTAAATATTCCGTGAATTTATCCATTCCGTGAAAAGTGTAAGTAGTTGCAGATGTCTAGAAGAGGTAAAAAATAATAGAACAAAATAACCTCAAAGTCAAACCACTGTCTGAGTTTCTTCTTCATCATCCGGAGGGCTCTTGATGTAAAAGACTTTATACCTAAGAGCAACTGGCCCCACTTGTGGTGGATCCCAACTAACTTCTATGGCTTCCGAGCCTATAGCTTTGGCCTTCAAATTAGTAACTCTTCCTGGGACCGCCTCTGAAAAAAATTTTTTCAGATAAAACTGGCAAGAATATCATACGCTCTTCTCTCGTGGTAACTTTTATATAATCAGATGTTTTTCCTACTCCGGCTTCATTTTCAGCAGCTACTCTGACCAGATAGAGTGTGTCAGGCTGCAGCCCTTTCAGCGTCGCAGATGTAGAAGAGAAGTTCATTACTCTCTCTCTGGAAACACGGTAGCTTATAATCATCCAAGCTCAATTGTGATACCGTTCACTATTTTCTTCTTTGAAAGATACGTGATAACGCATAATTTGACCATTTCTCAATACAGGTGGATCCCACTCTACAGCAATTACTCTGCTACCTAAAAATAATTGTCACATCAAGTTCTATTCCTATATTCAAACCAATAAGAGTCTCTTTCAACCCCAGAGGCGCAGATGCAATGAGTGGTTGCCCAGAAGATGCAGCAACTGCGGTAGCATCTGAAGAGATCAAAACATTAATCTTGTAATGTAACTGGATGAAAAGTAGCACTCTGTTATATTAAAGAAAAGGAACGTTAATTGATCGAAAAAATAGCACGCCAAACATATACTACAAACCAGCTTGGCTATCAGCTCTAATATTTGCTCTTTTCCAATTCATTGTGGAAATAAATGTAGGTCCTATTTCAGTGAACTAGGTAACGTATAAACATTATATCTTCTTACCGGGTGAATCGACTAAAAGCTGCGCGGATGTTTGCTGAAATCCAGCTGAATTCTCCGCACTACACTGATAAACTCCTTGATCTCCTGCCATTACACCTAATATTCTCAACCTAAAAGTGGCGCTTGAGTTTGATCGAGCACCTCAGACTAACTTGTTCGGCTCAATGACGAAGTATCCACTTGGAATAATGGCCTCTCCATTTTTGAACCACGAAATAGAAGGCTTCGGTCTCCCGGAGGAAAGACATTCGAATTCTATATCAGCATTTTCCAAAGCAACTTTCGTGTTCGGATGAGTAGTTATATGAGGAGGAGCTTAAAATATATCTCAGAATTATTTTAAAAACAGAATCTTACAGATAATTTTCAATTCCACCGTCAGATCCTGGTTGTCTACAGAATTGCTAGCGCGACATGTGTAAAAACCAGAGTCGTCAGTTATGACCTTTTCAATCAGAAGCGAACTCATGCCGACCTTCCTAATCCTCTTCCCATCGATAGGCAGCTGACGAGAATCTTTAAGCCTATACAAGGGTGATTTATTCAGTTAGAACCATTAAATGTAATACCATCTAACATCAGGAGATGAGGATGAAGATGCCAGACACTCGAGAACAACATGCTCTCCAACCACTACTGACTGATCTTGAGGTTGAGAGAGAAATGTGATATCAGCTTCAGATTGCTTTCCTACATATGTTTATGAGCACTTCCGGAATATCGTTCTCTTACCTCTAGCCAATGCCAAAAATCCACTCTCACTAGTTCGTCGTTTACCTGACCCTTCAACTATACACTTGTATTCGCCTTCGTGTCGAGGTTGTACAGAACTTATTTCTAAGGAATTCGTAACGGGAAGTATATGATACTCGCCTAAACAATAAATAATATAGATAAAGAGGCATTGCATCTGCTCGATTTTTCATTAGTTTCTCGCAAATCACTCCGAATCAGACATTTATCGGATGTAACGGAAACAACATGACACTACTACACATGTTATCTCACTATTGCATCTACAGATCAATGAGTGCAACGATGTATTTTGCATAGCTAACCCCTCAGGACACAATAAATAATCAACTCTCTAAGTATTAGTCGATATGAAATGTTCAAAAAAAACTGACCTCCTTGCTTTATAATTACTCCGTTGTGGTACCAAGTAACAGAGGGTGCGGGAGAGGTCGACTGCAAAAAGCATTTTCAAAAAAAAATATATTAAAATAATAACCGTGAAACAATGAAAAACCACTGGCTCTCCTCGTACAATAGTTTGATTTGTTGGATTTGATTGAAATCTGTGTATAAAAAAATAATGTAAGTGGAGGAGCTAGTAATATTACCTGGGCAGTTCAGGTAGAACCACTCTGATCTTATCGCCCAGATAAGTCCATTGAGATCCATCTGCTAAGCCAATATGTACTGAACACTGATAGCTGCCTTCATCAGCAGAACCCAAGTGTTCCACAAAAAGAGATCCATTGGAAAGAAGCTGACTGGAATAGAACCATTCAACTCGGCTCAATCGGAACAAAGTACGATGTAACAACAAATAAACACTTATTCATATTTGAATATAACCGAGATTCACTCAAATACTTTGCGAGATCTTCATGCTCCCTTATTGTGACCCTTTCAATGCCCATTCTGACATAAGTAAATGGACTGCATTAAGGCCTTGTTGCCTCCCATTCGCTTCATTAGGAAGATAGGCAAATGTTGGGGAATTCCGATTAATAGGCAGTTGACACTAACGAATCCCCTCATCCAGAATTAATCTCGTCCACTCTCCCATCATTCCTACTAACATCCTAAAATGTCTAACGACACAAAAAAGCCATTACCACATAATTACTTCGCTAACCCTGCGGGGCACCTTCTCCAAAATGGGAATTAAAGTACAAATTGAATAAAGCAATTTCGAAACATTGCTATATGCAAACTAAACAATATAACTTTTCGACATCTCAACTTGGCTATCGCTTCTGGGAAATAATCCTATTGACTCGATGTTATGTAATCCTCTCATGTTGAGAATGAGGGCATGCATCAAGAACAATATTGCGAAACTACTATTCCGGAATAATAATGAATATAAAGTAACTCACAAGTGTCTTTGGTTTGGGCTTATGACAGATCCATCCTTTCTCCATTCTAAGCGGACATGTTTGACGTCTGATTTGTCCAAAGTATACTGACATTCCAAAAGTAATTTTTCATTGCTAGTAATCTTGGAAGGGTATGAGCTAAGCAAATTGAATTTTAAAAAGCGTTCATCTGAAAAAAGAAGTGAGTAAATATCATTTTCCCAACAATTTTCAATTTTAAAACTAATATATTAAACTATCAATGAAAGTCTTAACATTCATTATAATCCTTAAGAAAGCTATTGCGTTAGAGAACCCATAAGAATGATAAATGAGGAAACATATGGCTCTAACACGAATAACGCTCTCTCAATGCTCAATGTAAAGTGGCATTTTGTTGGAAGTAACGGACAATTATTCAACATATGGTTCAGAAATACCGTTATATTATTAATAGCTGATTCTGGAACCCAAGAATCAGCAAAACTGTAAGATCAGACTTTCATATGTTTTCTAGAACCACTGGAGCGTTTCTGACAGCGAATCATGCTGTGTTGATTCAGTTTGTAAACAAGACTCATAAAAAACCAAGTGTGCATATTATGAATGAGATAGTCTATTCATTGATTGCACATCAAGGGCTTATAAATGTAAAATGGGTTCGGCCACAGAACAGATGGTCGGCTGTCCATCCCAAGGATACTCACAAAATCACAATGACCCGTCCTATTGATTACAAAAGCAAAAGAACTACCTACCATTAGCTAGAGATCGTCGGTGATGCCTACGGAAAGAAAAAGATTGTGATATGAAACTAATGAAGAGAAATAGCTCTAGAATATTGAAATGAAAATTGGAAAACGATATTTTTAACCTATCAAGTTTGATATCCGCAAAAACATTCGCATCGCCTTCTAAAGAATTTACCTCATTGCTGGGAGCAAAAATATAATCTGAAAAGTTCTCAATATGGAAACTAGAGGCAAACAGATAAGGAAGCACAACATTAGCAAAGCACGAAAATAAAATGACGATAGTAGTATCTAACATTCGACCTTACAGAAATGATATAAATAAATGTTGATGGAGAACAACCGCCTTTCTCTTCATAAAAATTAGAAATGAACAGGAATAAGTGTCCCTTCATCAATCAATACAAACATGAATTATTCCAAAATAAGATTACAAGATAAAAAGATTTAGCTGAATATTTACATATATAGAATATGTAATTATTAAGCTTGAACGCTAAACGGAATCGTGGTGTTCCGAAATCTGAGAAAGGGGGCGGATCTAGTAAGATTCGCATTTTGGCACACTGCCACGAAGGGCTGGTATGGTTGTGTCGCGTAGCGGTTGCGTCGCGGTTATAAGGCGCGAAGCTATACTTCGTGCTTCGAATTTGCAAATTACGTTTTTCTTTATTTTAATATCGTATTTTATGTTATTCTAATTGAAAGCATGTGTAATTTTTTGATTGTTAACAGTGAGATGGTAATGAAATTAGGATTTTTTTCAGTTATATAAAAATTATAAATTGGATAATATTATTGGTATGACTGAACATCAATCGTCTAGTACCTCTGGTTGGTTAGGAGCTTTGGGTAGAATATTTAGTGGATCAAGTACTGTTTTGTGTTTTGTTTTTACCTTTTGTACATTTTTTTTGAAGGTTCATCACAAAATGAAACAAAAGAAAGAGTAGACAATAATAGCACAACTGAAAAAAATGCTAGAGATAATTCATCAAATTTAAGTGAGTTATATAAAGTTATATTTGTTTTATCTTATTCATTTTCCATTATTAGACGGGTCTCGATCTTTTCAATCCAATACCTCATCAGGAAAAGGATTGCGTTATTTGAATACACCTATTGTTGAGACTAGAACCTCACTAGATATATCACGACCAGCTCCTTTAGCTGACTCATTTTCACAATCAGTATGTTTAACCGATCGAATATTTAAAAACTAATGTATATTCAGCGCAAGCGGATGAATGACGAGTTTCGTGCTCCTGTAGAGACAGACATATCTTCATTGAGTGCGAAACGGTTTCGTGGATTAGCCAATCATAGCTTATTAGAAGAGCCTGTAAGTTCTATTTAGTTTTATTGTTTTGTATTAGCTACCATTCAGATACGGGTAAATGTTTCTGAAAGGTTAGATTCGACATGGAACGGTGTAAGCGCTCTTGAATCATCTCCATCATCCTTGCGATCTCTGAAAAGGTTTGAAATTTGTATCTGTACTTGTTAAGCGTTGAAATTTGTAGTAGAATGAGCGAAGTTCCTAGTACTACCTCCTCAGGTTTGAGCTCGAAAACTAGAGCTATCCTTCAACAACTTGAACGAGTTCATACTCCCGCTAAGGTATTTTTTTGTGGCACGAACGTGTGTTAGAAATGCTTTATTCCAGGATGCTCGAAAGTTACCTACCATGAGAACCACCGGTGCTTCTACTGAGAAATGGGCATCTATTCAGAACTCAAATCTTTCATGTGGAACACCTCCTCCTCTGAAGAAAACTATGGGGAGTGTTCCTTCTCGTATTCAGCTGTTATCTTCTCGTATTGGAACTCTTCAAAGGAAACCTTATTGGTAAGTGGTTCTCATACTGCTATTAGAACTTAACGGATTTGAAGGAGGGATATTGTTCGCGCTCCGAAAATTCACACGGAAACTAATGAGGCTAATAAAGCTAATAAAGACACATTAATCAATCCTATTTCTAGTAATTATAAAACAGTAAGTGAAACCTATCTCATATGTTCTTACTTTTCTGATTATACAGATTACACCTCTTTTTGATATTGATGAATCGTCTCCACCCAAAGAGAAGAAGAAGGATATGACTGAGGTTAGAAAGCCACAGCCAGTGTTGAAAGGTATTTTGACAATATATTCTCAATCTTATTTTTCTATCAGGAAGCGATGGTAAAGCTACGAACGTATTCAGTGCAAAAGAACTTGAGGATGACAATATCACGCCACTTCCTTCTGTTCCGGTAGTCCTCATTGTTCGTTAGAACTTCATTTACTGTTCTGTATAGGCTGTCTCATTGCCTCAGTTTTCCGTTCCTGCGAAAGGCTTCCTCGACGATATCGTTTTTTCGTTTGCACCACCAAAAGAAAATAAGTTTGAGAATGGGGTGCTTTGTTCATCGAAAGAAGTAGCAGAAGATGAGACTTCTTCTGACTCTGATGAGAGCGTTTCTGATGACTCAGTCAACTCATCATCCTCAGAAACAAGCGTAGAAGAACAATCAGATAAATCTGAAAAGGTTAGTACACATATAATTGGCCCTTCTGATTTTCATATTCTAGAAAGAATCCCGCCCTCCAACGTCCACTGATAGTGAGAGCAGTGCAACTCCATTCTCCTCGAAGAGTATTTCTCCCCAGAACAGAGATTCCGAGAAAAGTGTAGATAATAAGACTCTCGAAAAGAAGGATGCGATTGCACCTGCTCCAAAGCCGGAAGCCAAAGTTCCTGTTGCGGCTTCCGCCACCTGGAGTTGCCCTGACTGCTTTGTTTCCAACAAGGTAGTTGGCTTGATTATATATCATAATTCCTTGCTACCTTTTAGTCGTCTGATGCCAAGTGTGTATGTTGTGGACATGTTAACAAAGCGAATATAGTTGAAGAAAAAAGAGTCGACTGGGACTGTCCCGATTGTTTCGTAAAGAATACGGTAATATTATTATGAAGTTTAATAAGTTTTTTCAATACCACCATACAGGGATCTATGAGTAAATGTCAGTGTTGTGGATTCGTCAAATATAAAACAGCTGCTTCTACATCTGATGACAATGTTTTCGGTGATAAAGCTTTCAAACCACAATCATTCGGTACGTTGTATATGTAGTACGTTATCAGACTCTTAATTCAGGATCAGGATTTTCTTTCGGTGTTACTTCATCAACAACTTCGTCCGCTAGTCAACCTGCATTCGGATTCTCAGCTACTTCTTCCACTGTCTCTTCTAATGCTACTACCAACTCTACCGCACCTACGTTCCCATTCCCTACCTCATTTGGAGTTGGAAAAAGTTCAGTGGAAACAAAGCCAGCTGATGCTGCTGCCACGGTTACTTCTTCATTAGCTCCAACACCAGTGTTTGGAACTAAATCTACTGCTCCAAGCGTAGTTAGCAAACCACTTTTTGGTTCTACAGATAAGCCTCTTTTCGGCTCTACTGACAAGGACAAAGTAGATAAAGCTCCCGTTTTCGGAGCTTCATTGAAAACTGAAAAACCAGTGTTTGGTGCCAGCCCGTTATCGACTTTCTCTTCCACTGTTCCAACGAAATCTCCGTTCGCCTCAACCGAGACAACTAAACCAGCAGAAGGAGCACCTCTTTTCGGATCGCTGAAAACTTCAGCAGCTAGTACAGCTCCTTTCCCATCATTGAGTCTCGGAGGCTTTGGAACTTCGACAGATAATTCGTCTCCCTTCGACAAGGAAGTCAAGAAAGATGCACCAGTTAACTTATTCGGAGGACTTTCTTCATCTTCCGCGGCATCAACCGTACCTGCTGCTGTTCCAACTCCTGCTCCTGCTGCAGCTCCAGCGGTAACAGCCGCTCTCCCTACCATAGCTCCTTCTGCTCCGGCTTCCGGAAACGGTTTTCTATTCTCTAAAGAAGGATCCAATCCCTTGTTCGGATCTTCTTCTTTGAGCTTAGGAACTTCTAAACCAGCGACAGAACCTTCAAAACTAGGAATGTTTGGACAGGGTAGCGGATTGTTCAACCCCGTTGCAACCTCGGCAGCTCCAGCTCCTGCTCCTGCTCCTGCTCCTGCAAGTACGGGTAGTGTGCCCACGTTCGCAGGGTTAACAACGACGACGAATCCCACTGGAAATCTGTTCGGAAACTCGACTTCACTTCAAACCGGGTTCAATTTCCAAACTCCTGGCGGAGAGGAGAAGAAACCTCTGTTTGGTGGAAGCGATGCCTCTAGTATGTTTTTAATGTCCTACTGAAATATTTTCTTGTCTCTTTAGAGCTGTTTTCAACTGCCAGTTCGTCCAAAGATGATGTGCCTGCTGCTAAGAAGCCTTTCTCATCCAGCTCTGCTACAGGAGCAACACCTTTTTCATTTGGTCAAAGCAAACCTGCAAACGAGAGTGCTGGACTAACAGGAAATATATTTGGAAACAATGCGTGAGTTTTCTTGAACAGAGTTTTTCGGACGGAAGTCTTTTTAAGATCGCAAGGGTTCGGTGGTAGCAATAGTACACCTTCATTTGGAGCATCAGCGTGGGGAAGTTCTGAACAGGCTCCTCCTTCGTTATCAGCTAGTTCTTCATCAAACTCTCTGTTTTCTTCCAATCCTGAGATTTCAAAGTAAATTATTATTTATAAGAGGTTTTCATTTCTCTTTTCAGGGGTTTCCAATTTGGAGCCGCTACACAGCCAACAGGTGCCTCACAAATGTTCCAGTTTGGCCAACCTACCATTGGCAATTCTACCTTCAACTTTGGTGGAGGCAACCCAGCTCCTGCCTTCTCAGCTCAACCTAATCCTCCCGCAGTATCTATGTTCCAAGGAAGCAATGACTCCGCACTAGGAGGCGCTTTTGCCTTTCAGTACGTTTTACTGTTTTCTACTTCATACTTTTTTTTTCAGAGGATCAACCGCTGGAGGCCCAACAAGAAAGTTAGCAACAGCACGTCGCCGAATGGGAAAAAAATAATGTTTTTACACGCGCTCTTGTTCCATCCGGTGTTTTTAAGCTCTTGCCTCTTGCACCATTGTTTTTGCTCCTAGTTTTAGATTGTGTTCAACACATCTAGATTGTTAGATACTTTTTCCAAACTCGTTTCTTTGTGCACTACCAAAACTCAATGCTTTGTACAAGATCTAGGGATAATACCCATTAAGAAGTGTTTCAGATGTTCTATGATTTCAATGTTAAAGCTATTTTGTTTAGTATTTACTCTAATCTGAATTGTTTCTATTACGTTATATTATATAATAATGTCTTTGGTTGTTCCAACGTTGGTTTCTCATTGTGATTTTCAATCATTGTCGGTTTCTATAAATTAGTAAACTTCACGATGTTTATATGTGATGGCTATTATACAATTCGGGAGTCAGTGTCGACATGATACTCTGCACTCTGCCGATTGCAAGCAACTTTTTTATTACAATTCTAACAGTACTTGCTTTTGTGCACATACACTTCAGGTCAATTAGCAGAGTTTATCTATTGGTAAAGCAGTATTTTAGAATAACCGATGTGGCTTCCAAATCATGTGAATGTAACAGTTCTGCTATTAGAGAGAAAAGAGCAGTTAACCAATCCACTAATGGGAATCATCTATGGCTGACGTCTTTGTCAAAAATTAAAGTTTATTCTCTCATCATAATCTTGCTAAAATCTTCGTTCAGGTTAGTGAGTTGATGGAAAAATGCGTTGAAATTCATAAATACTGCACTGAAGAGAGTAATTCTGATCGTGGACCACCAGGACCTACTGGTCCGAGAGGAAACACGGGGTTGATAGGAAGAAAAGTTCGAATAATAATCATTATTTCTTATTAGAAAAACTGGAGCTCCCGGACCCATAGGTCGGCCAGGTCTGATGGGAGTTCCTGGACACTCAGGACCACAAGGTAGAAGACAATTTTTCTTGCTCCAAACACTTATATGAAATTTTGTGAAGGTCCACCTGGTTTACCAGGTACAGATGCTGATTGCACTCAATGCCCGGTTAAAGACGAATTTCTCATCAATAGGTCTTACCAGTGCCCAAAGTTGAGTCATTATCGTTTTTGTAATTGTTATCCACTCCATAACGTTTTAGGTGGAAGAAATGAGATGTTCGGACAAAATGACGGTAGTTGACCAAATAGAAAGTCCAAAAATCACAGACAGGACCATTCCACAAATCATCCAAGAAGTAAACTTATCAATGTAGTGAAAAACCACTCAATTTTCTTAAGATGCTCTCTAATAACTCGGATGTCGAAACATGTATGAAAGTCTGCATATCCAATTATACAGATTTGTTGGAACCAGACCATGGGCAAGACGATGAAGAAGCAACCACACAATTAGCTTACATTCAAGGAGCCACAGCCCGTTGGTTTCCTGTTGATTTACTCTAATGTATTAAATTACAGATTGCAAACTACAGTCGGTTGGAAAACCAATATTTCATTCCCATGCCACTACATATTTTGGTAGTTGGATGAGAGATGCCTATCCAAGAACTGGTGATGTGAGTATGGAAACATTTTAACTGATTATCAATCAGTCAAGAAACTGTTCAATTTGTCTATCTTCAGGATACACACAAGCGTTATCTGATGAATCATTTTGAAGGAAACGAAGTTCTTGAATACCGAACTGAAGCAGATCTTAGGCGAGAACATGTCTGGAGGACGTTTGTTATCAGTTAAATAATCTGAGAAATAGTGGCTGTTATAGGCACAGACTACCATATGTGTTCGATGGCACTAACAGTTTGGTATTCAATGGATCAATTTTCTATCATCGAGCAGGTTTTCCTAGAATAGGAAAATTCGAATTTTATTCTGAAAGATATGAAGAGATAAACATCGAAGGAGCAGCTTACAAGGGAGAAAACGTAAGCTGGTCTTATATAATAATTACGCTCGTTCGGGGCTTATGTAAACAAAGTGCAACAGAACGTTAGATGAACGGTAAGTGAATGAGTGATTCCACAAAGAGTGCCGAAAATCAGAAGCTTTATAAGAAAATACAAACAATGAGGTTTCTGCTCATAAATTTAGAATCAACTATAGTTTTCCTGTTAGGAAGGGGTTGAAAAGTGTTGATAGAAAGAGAGATTGAAATAATTTAGCACCAAAGAGTCAAGAAGATTAATAAATCTCAAATGTTCCTATACTATTATTATATTCAGAAGGCCGCAATATCTATAAAGATATTAAGGGTCCGAAATCTGATATCATTCTGTCTTCTCACTGTGTCCAGTGCAGAATGATTGATTACCATCCATATATGCAATTTATTTCAAAGAGATTTGCATAGTAGACAGATGATGATATGTATGGTTAATGATCATGATCGTCCATCAGATACGAGAAAATCACCAATTTCCCACTTAGAGGGGTTTTAACTATTTATCAATGAACGTTCTTTACGGTTTTGGAATGATCCAGTACTTCCTCCAACTGCAATGAAGAAGTGTGAACAGTGAAAACTATTATACGCGAGAGTTCCGAAAATTCAAGGTCTAAAAACTATGATTAGAGCAGTTTTTAATTATTATTGTTTGTTGCTCATTTTATTTTTTAAGTATTTATTCAATCGTTCCTTGAATTACTTCGATTTGGCGATAGATGAGAATGCTTTATGGGTTATGTTCCATTACGAAAAGGAAGAACACCTCAGCGTTGCTAAGGTAATTCCATGAATAATTCAATTCCAAATTACTATTGCTAGGTCGATATTAACAACTTAACAATCTATGAGACATTCAATTTAACACTTCTGAATCATTCACAAATAGCTAACGGAATAGTTATCTGCGGAGTGTTGTACACGGCAAGTTGTTTAAATAAGGGATCAGCTGGATAGGAGTTACGATTGGAGCTGTCAAGTTAACACTTGTTCTTTTAGATTGATAGTGGTCACGACCAATCGACCTACGTATCCACTTCATTCGATTTCTATAGGCTTCTGTATTCTAAGCCGAATATAAAATGGATAAATTTATATAGGTAAGCTGGAGTGCAATGATTCTAATATTTTTTTCAAGAAATGCTAATATGGTGTCATATAATCCATACGACAAGCGGATTTATGTGTACGATCATGGATACTTGCTGACCGTCCCAGCACATCTTCAATGGCTAGCGAAATAGGAAGTGCTCACTTTCAAAAGAGCAACTTGAAATTCTTTTTAACCTTACATTTCTATAAAAAGATAATAAGACAGATTCTTCGCTTATCACCTTTGCATTAAATGAAATAATATTATCAGTTCTTGCTTTTTAAACCACACATGATTATTCATATGTGATGCTATTTCTAATATTTCTTTTCCTATTCCAATCTTCTGCAATTTACGCGGAAAATAATGAAGATATTCTAAGCAACATTGTTTCTCTCATCTCTAATGGCGTTGAGCCATCCGATACGGCACATGGGAATGTGATTGACTATTCAGCGAACGATATATTTCTTATTGAAGCTGAACCAGACGATCATTTACCGATTGAAGTTCTAGCTGAGCAGAATGGGTTCCAAATCATTAAAAGAGTACTTATCCAATTTTTCAAGTCTTACGTTTGCTTCTTCGTTTTAGTTGCATTCGTTCCCAAATGTTTTTGTTGCCAGAAAGATGAAGAGGAGAAAGAGATCTTTGACGTATCTAGACCAAATCTCTTATGAAAGCAAAGTTGTCTCTGTTATAGTTTTGAGTTTTATTAGATAATTTCAGATAAAGTGGTCTGAAATTGTACGCCCGTTAGTCAGAGATAAGAGATTCCCTCATTTCTTTTCGAGCTTTAACAATGCTACTCTGAGCCAAAAAAAAGTGGAGCAAAAGCATCCTGAACAAAATACTGGTAAAGGGGTTGTAATTGCTATATTAGTATGAGATATTCTATTTACCAAATTTTAAAGAATAGTTGTAGGACGATGGTGTGGACTATACCCACCCCGCTATTCAAGCCTCCTATAGAGCCGATTTATCTTTTGATTTCACACATGATAAAATGGACGCTAAACCGGAAAAAAGCAAAGATAACAAGTAACTATAACTCACTTAGAAAAAAGCAAAATAATTTATAGTCATGGTACGAATTGTGCAGGGATTGTGGTTATGCCACCAGCATCGGCTTGTGGTGTAGGAGCTGCTTATGGATCTAAAGTTGCTGGTAGTATTAATCTTCTACTTTATATACGTAGAGCTTTTAAGGATTGAAAATGCTAGGTGGTGATTCTGTTAATGATGTCATGGAGGGAGAAGCATTACTCCATAAGTTCCAGGAAGTAAGAATTCATGAGTTTTTGATTATAGTAAAATGACAGATTGATATTTACTCAGTCAGTTGGGGACCAAAAGATGATGGTCGCTCCATGGAAGGTCCACATCGTCTGGCACAAATAGCTTTGTCTAAAGGTTACAGAATGGTGGCGATTTCGGTTTCATATTTTTTTTATATAGAATAAGCTTAGGGACGCTCTGGAAAAGGTTCAATTTATATTTGGGCTTCCGGTAATGGTGGGCTAGAACACGATGATTGTGCCATGGATGGTTATGCCAGTAACATATATACCGTTTGTTGACGTTCTACCCTTTTTCCTAAACGGACGACGCTTAGATAACTTTTGGAATGTTTGGAGAAGGAGGAAGTCCTGTGTGGTACACCGAGGGCTGTCCAGCAATTATGGCTTCTCTCTCGGCTGAGGACAATCATGGCTTTGTTAGTTATCTAATTACATTCTTCTGAGTTCATAATTTTTTCAGCGGACTACGGATGTTGATGGAGCTTGTACATTTTTTACTGGCTCATCAGCTGCAGCTCCTTTAGCTTCTGGTATTATCGCATTGGTCTTGGAAGAGAAGTAAAGTTTTTTAACTTAACAATTCTCTTATGAATTTCTCAGCCCTAACCTAACACAGAGGGATGTTCAACATCTAATTGTCCGAACAAGTAACTCGTCTCTCCTAGCACAGCAAAGTCCTAGTCTATGGAAAGTAAATGGAGCAGGTTACTCGACTAATAATCGATATATGCTTAATTCATTAATTGAAGGACTCAATGTATCAAGAATGTTTGGTTTTGGATCATTAGATGCAAAGAAATTGATCAAAAACGCTGCTGTTTGGAAGAATGTAGAAAAAGAGAACATTTGCAGTAAGGAACTCGTTTTGAAAGAAAAGTTTGCGAATCCGAAAGCTTATTTAAACAAAGTTGCTTTCAGGATAACCTTTACCCACGAGTTGTCAGCTGTTATTAACATTCCGTTTCCGGGGTGTCAAAATACTTCATCTGAGGTGAACTATGTGGAGAAAGTGGAACTTCAGGTTTCAATCCATCACGACCGAAGAGGAGACATCGTACTGGATTTAGAATCACCCTCAGGTAGTTATATATTACGAAGCTTTTTTTTCAAATGTTTCTAGGAACTGTTATCCGTTTACTTGAGAGAAGAATATACGACAACTCTGAAATCGGGATTTTGAATTGGCCATTCGTCGCTTCACACTTCTGGGGAGAGAACGCTGTCGGAGTTTGGAAGCTCTACGTTCATGACGAGGTATTGTTAGTAGATTTAATGGGGTATAAATATCATATTCAGGGTAAGACAAACGGTGGAGTGATAAGTCATCTCAACCTCCTCGTGATTGGTACTGAAAATGATGTCATGAAAAATGTTGAAATAATTTGAAGAATCATTTTATTTATTAAGTAATAAACATTTGGAGATATCTTTATATATGCAAGTACACGTTCAACATTCAGATCACAGACGAATTCAAATATATTGGAGTTTAATTATGATGAAGCTTTAAAAATCATAATGAGTTGACCTCGGGGGAGTTGATATTGAATATCGGAAAAAGGTCTCAGTATCAGGGTCCCCCATTTCAGGAAGAGATAATGGACCACCTAGCATTGAATCTGAAGACATAATGATTATTCTGAAAAACTGTGTAAACATACAAGGGCTTCCTTTATCCAAAAGTTGACTTCTTTCAATCGAATAGCGGACGCGTTTAGGCTTTCGTTGAGATTTGCTCTTCGATCCAGAAGAGCATTTCTGAATGATACAAGCAGTAAGTATCAAAATCAGAGCAGAAACGACAGCGAAAACAAAACAAACAAGAACTTTTTCTTTGTTTTCTGAAAAAAAAAGTTTAATGAATATGTTGAAAGAACACTGACGTTTAAGATATTCGCCAACCAACAAGATGTCATGAACGACTCCCACCAAATTTGGAGATACCATTTCATCATCATTTTGAACTTCGGCAGCTTCGTTTACTACATTTCTGGTTTTGACAGAATCGTATTCAGCTGGAAAGAAGCTTATGGTTTATGAATATGGGTAACTTCCTACCGTCATTGTTCATTTCAGGAACCTTTTTCTCAAGAACTTCAAGCACACTATCTGATGTGACTTCCTCAATGATGTCAGGAACATCCTCCTTCTATATTGAAGTAAAATAATATGAAAGAGAGTGAGTATGTATCATACCACAAGCTGATTGAAATCTTCTTTTTCGTTCTCCCATTCCTCAACATCACTGTCACCTTCAACTTCCTCTTCTTCTTCGTCTATTCCCTTATCCATTTCCAAATTTCCAGACCCCTCAGTGAAATACTGAAAAATAGCATTAATGCTAATCGAGCTGAATTGACGAAACCTTCTTATACTCTAGAAGTGATTGTAGCTCTCCATTTATAGCATCCTCACTGAAGATCTCTTCATTCACTAAAAAATAATATGATGAAGCGATATGATGATAACGCACTCACAGCACATGAATAAAATATTCAATTGAGCAGAAACATCTTTCGGGCATGGATTCTTGAACTTTTCGTCTGATACGTGTAAAGTACAGCTTTCTTGCGCATGACAAGAACCGATAACAGAAGGAAGAACATCAGTCAAACATTCTGAAATATGCACCTATTGACTATTCCAGAAGATTTTTTTGTGAGAGGCAATTATCCCTGCCAGATTTCAGAGCAACATCACTAAGTTTCAGATGGATACTTAGTTTGTATTAATGTCATTTGTTTTACAAACTGCTTGAAGAAATGGAAAGACTGAAGACATGAAAACGGAACACTGTCCCATTCAACCGGATATCATTAAAGAACAGACTTCTCAGTTTTCGAAGAACAAATCCATAAAACACAACGGGTGATGCTGGGCTGTGCACAATGGAATGGAAGAAGTTGGTAAATTAGTTTAATTTGAAAATTCAATAAGAAGTTCAGGAAAAAAATCAGAGATACTGGAAATAACCTTTAGTCGAAAAAAGGAAAATATTGTTCGATGTCTCAGGAGACAAAGACAATTCAAGTGAGGATTGAAATAACCGAAATACCAATTTTTTGACTGTCTTTCAAATTAGGGTTTTGTTTGATAAAACAAATGACTACCTATGTTATGCACAATAATGACAACAAACCTTTTTGTGGAACACGAGACGATTTAGTAGAACAATGACTATTGTCCGAATTTGCTTGTCTTCCATATGTAGCTGAATAAATAGCTAACCGACGACCTTCTCGGCATTCCAGATGCATCTCTGTGTCAGAACAAAACGACTCACTGTCATACGAAACTGAAAAAACGAATATGAAAGCATATCTCAGAATCAACATGTACTAGGTCTGCATTTGTAACTCATTTGTAGGTATTTCGATGTTGATGGACAAGGGTCATCTTCGAAGGTTGTCGTGTCCACATATACATTACACTTTCGCTTTTTGTCACAAATCTCTGAGAGTTTCTAAAATATAAACTTGATAGAGTTACCGAAATGTATTATCTATTAATCTTTGAAAGCAATAATGTTTAAGACAATTGTGACAATTAGAAAATCCAAAGGGTATTGCCTGATTGTCGGCTATTAGTCGTTTGCCGTAATTGTCGCAAAGCAAGAGGAATGAAAAATATCACAATTTTCTTCTACTAAACCATTCAGTTTGATGCTTCCGACAACATACATCTCGTTGGCACTTCGAAACATTCAAAGAATTCGTTATTATATCAGTTTTTCTTTCAAAATAATGAACTTCAACCAAACAAAAAATCATCTCAACTATCTCATTGGCTTTTACAACATAACTCATCGTCTTTCTTATTCCACTATCACCAGCCGTGTTCTTCCAATTCACTCAGTTTTATCGTTGAGGCCAATGGATATTTTCATTTTAAGATCCACGTCACTCATAATAACAACTTATGACTTCTCTAAGCCAAGCCACGAAGCGATGTTTAATTCGCAAGGATTTCACTTGCCGCTCGCAATCCTCAAACACATTCAGTTTGAGATAACCGTGTGAAAACATCCATTTGCGTTACCACGAAATTAAGACTTACTACTAGTAAATATAAATTGTGCGAAAAGAGTTTAGGAAATATGAATAAAAGAATATTACGATGAAAGCAACGATAACTGACCGAATGAGCTTGAATTACATCACAGCTAGAATCATATCCAACACTTTTCTTATCTGCAATTCTGCTGGGGCATAACTGAGATTCTGGCACCACTCTACCATAGAACCTATCAAATCCAATTATATCCTAATATATGAAGTTTCCGAACTTACCCAGCTTCCACCATAATATGAGTATTCCTTGGACAGTGCAAAGTTACCTTTTCACCGTCACATGCGGTAACTTGATGGGATCTAAGGGATTCATTTATAAGAGCTGAAATATTTCCATATAATCCCGTATCAATGAATCCATTTAATAAGCATAAGCATATTCATATTAATGTGCGCGGATGCTATAGTTTCAAACAGTTTCATTTTGTTTGCAATTGGCGCGAAAAGCGGTTGTGCGTGAAAACGGTGATGTAGCAGTTCTATTTATTTTAACATTAAAGGCATTACGGATAGATTAATTTATTGTTCAAAAGGAAGTATATTTGCAAATTGAAAACATGCTAATGCGGTATACGTTCATTATTCTTTTCGTACTGCATATTTGAGATGAGATTAATTCAAGTGCTGTGTGCAATATCTCATTACAATCCCAAAACCAGCAAGTCGTTTTTAACCTCGATGGTGTGATAAAACGGTTTTAATTATTATTTCTAAGCCAAGCATTTCGAAGCAGTCTTCTCAAGAAGCACAAAAGCTGATTCATGGTCAAAGCATTAAATATATTTGAATAGCAACTTATTAACAACATTTACGTTAATTCTATTTGCTTCACAAGCCGTGCATTGTGTACCATGGCAACGTACCGATTTGAAAACGTAAACGCATTTGAGCTAATAACATGAGTGAATCATTGTCATCAAGATGTTCTACATGAAAAAATGGATTGAGTGAGGTGTGAAATGTGCTTTTTTTGCAGTCAGAGTTCATTGATTTTAGGTTTCAGTACACATAAGGTCTATTAGTTTGTGCTGGCTACCTTAAGGTCAAGAAGCTCATTAAGCTGCACTAATTAAATAGAAACAGGCCGAAACGAACCCTATTGTGAGCTGAATCAACACAATTCAGGTGGAAGAGAAATACGTTAATTTTTAATGCAGGCTTATATGGATCGAATTCAATTTTCTTTAATCAATGTGTAATATGATAACCTACGGATAATCGGCTTGTGTAATAAATGTTTGTCAAAAATGCTTGAAACCTAAGCAAAGCAAAAGGAGAAAAGATATACAACATGTTATTTTCTCATATCCATTTCAGCATATTATGTTTCTTTGTTTCAAAAAACTCATGTTGAGAACCTCTGGTCTACATAGTGGTCTGTTGAAACTTGATGCCACCAACACAAATTCAAAAATAATGTTGTTCCAGCACAGTTCAGCTATGCGAGTTTGCTAGCATGAATTTGAAGAATGCGTATGAGTTCGCTTTGACAGTTCGTTTGTTATCTTGTGACAGATGTGACTTTCAAAAAAATCATCACCACAATTATTTCAAATCCAATTAACAAAAAAGTGATTTCGTAAAAATAATGTTACGCCTTCTATTTCTTAGAACTTAGTGTTATTTCTGTTCGTATTAGTCTCATGGTCGCTGTTAATAGCCTAGGGCAATCGTCTTAGCTCATTTGCTTTGTTACACCGGCTACTGAGCTGAGGCTATTTGATGAAAATGTTGGGTGGATAAGATATTATGTCATCAGGACGCGATCCATCGCAATATACTCAACAAAAAAACTGATGGAACATTGATGAAGTCAAAACTGTTTTCGTGAGAAAACAATCAAAAAAATGTGACGAAAGAATGAGGAACTTCAATTGTGAGAAACTGACCTTCTATAACTTTCTGACGATGTCCATTTGGAATAACATGATTTGCAGATGTATCTCTAGCATATATAGACAATAGATAAATTAAAATACAACTCCACATGAAGCACGGCGATGCACTTTGCTACACTTATCCTCAAATCTTTCGTGTATTCATCTGCCATTCTAGCATGAGGCTCCGCCCACTGGGTGGGCCTGACACCGCCTCTTGACAAGGCTTATTTTATAGTGGTATAGAAGAATGTAGATCAGTTATTTTCAACTGAAATTGTCAGTCATTAACAATAAATTGAAAAATTATATTATTAGCAGACAATTGAAAAGACAATTAGTTAATTTTCAGTATTTTGTCAATCCTTTCTGTGGGAGTGTTTATGGAACGTCTGGGCATTCAAATCAGTAGGATTTAAAAACTAAGAATGCCTAAGATATTTGTTTATTTGCAACGTGACATCTGTTGTAGTCTTGTTTATGAACTTGCTTTACATTCATTTAACTATAAACTAGGATCTAGACCAAGATGTTGTAACTAAGATAAAAAAATATCAAGTGTTTATTCTATATGGTTCATCTTGTTGCCATTTGGAGACAATTTGATAAGCAAATATATAAACAAATGATAGCAAAAAGATAAGGACTATCATAAACTCCGGAACCTAAATGAATAGAATACTTTCAAACGTGTTATTTTGAATTGTCGCAGTCAACGTTTTCGCGCGCAACAAGTCGTTCTCAACTAATTAGAATATTCGCTACTATCACGTCAGGTTTACGTGACTTTTTTTATCATTCGTGTAGGAGTAACTTACAGAACGGTTGTTTGAACCGTTAGTTATGCATTTGAAAGTTAGTTTCTTTTTCCTTACAAACTGAATGCATGCGCGATACCTCTCAAGAAGAAAGTGCGGTTTTGAGTATTTTACTTTTCAGGTTTTTTTCGAATTAGAATTCTGTTAGGGAGCCAATATGTCTTCTAGCCAATTAGAAAATATTGATATTCAAAATGTGGAAGTGTCGTTGAATAGATTCGTACAGGTGTTGACATCGTTAGAGAAAGAGAAATTAAAAGTAAAGGAAAAAGAGGTTATTTGATGATTGTGCTAAAAGTTTACTGATAAAAACACTTACAGGACCTGTTACTAAAGTCTCATGAGCTCTATTTTAAAAATAAGCAATATATATTGTGCAATATAAGCACTCAGTACGATATTTCAACAATTAGTAGGATACTCTATTTTCTGACTGTGAAGGTGGAGATATAGCCATTTGCAACTTAATGAGTCTTGAATTAGGAATGTGAAAACATACGAGGAGGGAAAAAAGTTTCTAAGTTTTCAATGAGCGATCTATTCATAACGTTTCTCAGGGATATCTGTAAGTTCTTTGTGAAAATTTGTATGGGAAATCGTTTTACAGCTGATAAATTCAACTTGATTGAAGAACATGATGTACCTGTACTCTCCATGATAGCAATGATGTTGAAGTTTGATCAGATTATTAACACGAATAACGAAAGCTTCTTGCTCGATGCAATGCTACGACTTGCGGCTAACTCAAATTTCTCTAAGCTTATTGGTTGCATGGGTTTGAACTCTTCAGATTATTTTCGAAACTCTATTTGTACAGATATGTGGGGAAGTGTATTCGCTCGTATTCCTAAGTTAGCAGCGAATCAAACAGTATTATCGAAATATCTAAAAATTGGTGAATGGATGATTCAAAGCTTAGATGAGACACCTTCAGCAATAAACTGGGAAAACCAAATAAGTTCAGCATTGGAATCTCTTTTCAAAAATGACGTTTACCGGACAATAGGGTTAGATTAAACTTCTACAACGGTTAAAAATTAGGCTTCAGAGACAGCAGAGCTTCTTCTAGCACGTTGATTGACTTTCTATGTACCGTTATAAAGAAATATGGTACGAAAATGCGAGATGTTTTGAATGATATGCTGCTTCCAATTTTCAACGAATATGCGTGCTCCAGAAAACTTACTATCGATGATGCCGATTCTGCTGGAATCGTATGATTGATTCGACTCTCTGATTTAACTTCTAAGTTTCAGAAGAGCTTGTGGCATTTCTCTTTCCTATATCTTAGCTTAGTTTTCCCAGATATGAGAGCTTCTATATTAAGTAAAGAAGTTGTTCTATCCTCTTGCCGGGAAATTTTTATCTCTAGTATGAGGTGAGACGAAGCGCTCATGTTTCTGAGAATTTGTTCAGAATGCTTTCTCGATTTTGCACCAACAGGCCCAATTTTGTCCTTTCTCCAGTGCAGATTGAAACGCTAGCAAAGTAGAGTTTATTTATTCTTCTACCTATGGCTAATACGTTTAAGGCTAGTCGTTCTAACTGAATTCGATTCTCAAGAGCACAATAACTTTGAATTATCTATGTGTGAATCTCAAACAAGTTTTGTAGCGAAACGATCTAAATATAGTTCCCCACTTGAGGTAAAGTTAATAATACATATTATTCAATACACATTGTGTTCAGATGCTTATGAATCTTGAATCCGATAAGGAGGATGGGCAACGTGGTCCAAAAATATCTTCAGATTATCAGCATAATTGTCTTCTTATACTACACGAAATTGTAATCAAGTATAAGTTCTGTTTGAGTGATCCCACATACAAAAGAATAGCTCTGGTAATATGGAATACAAGGAAGAGAATAAGGTTGTTTATTTTGTGTCCAGTGTAGTTAGACGGTGTTATTCAAGCGATAATTCACGTTCGATGTATTGCTCAGTTTTGAAAGAGCTCGTGATTCGTGAAGGATTTGGTAATTATCAGTTTGTGAAATCAGAATCTCTGCAGAACACTAATCCTCTTGAGGTATTCTTAATTTCCCTTCTTAAATATAGCTGACTTTTTAGGATCCTCGCGTCCGAATAAAAAATCTGTGGGGATATGCTTTATCATGCACCAATCTAGACGGTGCTCTAGATCAAGCGATATTATTAATGTCGAAGTTGTCAGAGAAATATTCTTCGGTTCGAAATTGAATGCGTCTGTTTTTTAACTTGCTAACGTTTCAGATAATTGGAGAAACTTCTGTCATATCAGCGAATGTGCATAATACTCTGAACAAATCAGTATCACAAAAAAGTTTGGAACTGCTCAAGTCTTTCTTGATGAGTATCGATTTTGATGAACTGAGTTGCTTTTCTGGAGCAATTGATCCAAGTGCTGGTATAGTTAAATGGAAGTGAGAATCACTTTTTTAATATCGAGATGGCATTTTCAATCTTCAGGTTACGCTGTCAATATATTGAATGGTTAATAAAGATACATCATACCGATATATCCGAAATGCTTGTTCTGCTTTGCTCACTGTACCCTAGTGACGTACAACCCCTGAAATCGTTCTTTCCTAAAAATAATAAAAAGCCCTCAATCGGTAACAATAATCATAACTATTCTTCATCATTCGAAATATTCAGAGAAAGATTTCCTCTCAGATTTAGCCATCCTAACAGAAATCCAACAACCGTCGTTTCCTCGAATAGAACATAAGCCTAATCCTATTCTTTATGATGTTTTAGAATACTGTATCGATATTCTTCAGGATAGTTGGTACAACTGTACGTTTGTTACTCAGACTGCCTGTATTTAATACGTTTATAGGTGAACAGCAGAACCGTTCAGCTCTCTGGAACACCATACTGCATTTGATGACCGAAATCAAAATGCGAGACAATAGTTTATTTCCTATGTTCGGGGGCTTGCTTGAGGTATTTGCTTTTTTTTATTTGATAACATCATTATTATTCTCTAAGAGTGTTAATGAATATCTCGTGGATATATCAATAAATGGTTCTATAGAAGAACTGAAGAAGTTGATGCCAATGCAAGGAGCGATTTACTTATCCACCGAAGCCTTGAGAGAAGTGGCCAAAGTAGCTGTCAATGTTCCACATTTCTTCGCAGCTTTTCATCTCAGTGTCACTAACGTACCTGCCACATACCTGGTTTGTAGCTGACCCGTTTGTTCTTTATCTCCATTCAGGTTCCAATTTTGGAGCATCTGGTCCTGTCCGACTACATGGATCGAACTTCACACTTTTTTTCAAGCTTGATGCATAGGCTCGAAAAATTCGCTGGAGAAGTGGATTTTCTGCCTGATATACTTTTTATTGTGGCCAAGTTTGGATATTTACTCACACGCGAGGTCAACCTGGTGTTGCTCAATCGTGCTCTGTAAGAAAGAGTTTAATAATATTCTATGAACTGAAATTATAGGGAAATTCATCTGGAAGACAAAACTACCGCAACGGACGATGTTAAGTTAGAATACGATCGTCTCTGTTTAGTAGAAATTGGAATATTGTTTAAGGTATTACTTTGATTTTCATTTTTTCCTCGGAGATATTTGTTCAGTGGCCAAAAATTGTTGAAGTTCTGGATGCTGAAGATTTCCAAAAAAAATCATTATTTGAAACTATTATCCTGAATATTGATATGTGCGAGCTTCCATCTGCATTTCTGAGAGCACTTCTCGATATCAGTAGCAAGTCGATACTTATACTGAGGCATTTAGTAATGCACATTTTGAAAAACGGTTCTTTGTGGATGGAGCACATACATGTATTGACATTTATTCTGAAAAGTTCTCAGTTGACTCAAGTAAGATAGTCTTGCGTTTTGTTTTAATCACTTTCTTTTTGAGGTTATGATGGATCATATATCAGAGTTTGAAGATGTTTTTAATTTTCATGCCTTTTCAATAGCTAGGAACAGTTTTGAATTACCGAAGGAAAACTTCTTTCATTCGTAAGTGTCTTCAATGATTTATAATATTCGTTTAATGCAGACGATACTTGTCGTTTTCCTCCAATTCCGCTGTGAAAAAGAAGAACTGTATGGACATTAGTTGTTTTCCTCAGTGCTTGTTGCTGAATCATGAGTTGAGCTAATTGTGTTATAGTTATTGAGGAAACATTACAGAAGCTGGCCGGATGTCGTTTCTTTGTTTTGGAGTCAGGTGAATAAGCACGCGCATAAATTGTTAGTGAGCTTACGTAGTCAGGTAGACTTATTAATTCAAGTTTTGTAAACGTGAATATGAAATTTCTCAGGCCTCCACGCATTTGAAGCTCAAAATGGAAAATAGATTCATCTGTTTGCTGGAAGCTCTGACAGCTGACTTTCAGGGACTCGGTTTGACAAAAGCGGTCAAGAAACCATTTCAAATAATAATAAGAACTTTATTAGTTTCTTGTGTTAGAAGTCTGATCGAAAGGTGTTCTGATTCGTGCGGAAGAGTTTTTATTATTTTTTTTGTTGCAGAGATTGCTCAGTCCAGCATTTTAAGAAATGTATCTCTAGGGTTGTCACAATAGATAAAAATGTGTTTGGGGAAGAAGAAAGTCTCACGATGATGTTATGCACCGATTTTATACGAAGAGAACATGAGCTCTTCGTTTTCTTTGAAGAAATCCAAGGAAGGATGAAAGAAATATGTTTAGCCGAAGCTGATATATTTCTGAATAGTTCAGAACCTTATAAGGTACATAAAAGTTACGAGTTGCATCCAATATCTGTTCAGAATTTTCCATTCCTTATGTCTCCCTGCTTTTGGGACTGCGTCTCATCTTTACTATCTAGCAACAGGAACTTGAAAAATGTTTTTGAAAATATACGTCAGTTTGATCCTTTGAGTGTTTAAAAACGTTTTTTTCTTCAGGTAGTTCTCAGCTCAACCATATCTTGTTGTTGTGGGAGTTATGTCCTCGCATCAGGAAAGCCATGACTCCGATTGTATATATATTTGGTAACGAAAAAAGTCAACTAACAAGTATCCGAACATCTGGGAAAGAACCGCAACAGTTATTAATTACTTTCTTGAGATTTTACTGCGGATTAATAGTTAATGATATAGAGTAAGCGTATTTTTGAGTATAACCAAACGGTTTCGCCTTATAGCCGGACCGAGTGGGAGTGGAATGCTTTTGCACTCTCCGTTCTCTCGTCCAAAGGTCTGGGCTCTGTTCATCTGTTATACCCAATTACAAATAAGGTATTTTTTCCTTCGTTTCGTCTCACTTTTTTTTGTTCAGATTGACGGATTTACTCACTCCAACGTGGAAAACAATTCCATTCTTCAACTATCTCATCAGCTTGTCAGGCTAGCAATGAAAAGCTGGAAAAATTCACCCATTCTTCCACTAGTCGAGTTTTGTGATATGTACAGTATATATATGGTTTGAAAGCTACATATTCAACCCAAACGTCAATGAATTCAGAACGGATTTTCATACCTAATTTGTCCATTTTTGTGTCCCACCAACAGCAAAGTTGAGTTTGGTCAACAGATTCTGAACTTCATGTTATCGATTCCTCAGCCAGGTTATATGATTCGCCATGTCACGCATATTTACAATTTAATTTCTAGACTGCACGAACCAAGAAAACTTACGTGTTATGAGGACGTTCTGTGAATGCATCGATAGTTGTGGCTTAGCTACTGTGGAGTCTCTCAGTTTTAAGAGCGATAGTTACATCACTGTTGGAGAATACTTCTGCCGGACCGGTTTTTATGATCACGCTTATGCAATAGCTAATATAGCTTTCGATAAGTAATCACAGATTCCTTAGTTACATATCTTGATTTTTTTTCTTGAGGGAGTTAGGCAAAGAGAGAGCTTTAGTGGCTTTAGAAGGGGTCCCAGAACTACCGAAACTTCATGCTTTACTATTGGAAATTTACGTAGCCACAGACCAAGTAGCCGCTCTGGATTCTCTTCCTGTATGGGCGCAGGTAAAGTACAAATGTTGTCTTCAACCCGCTTACCGATCTCAGAATGATCCTCGTGCCCAACAAATGCGGATAAAGGATTCATGCAGGTGGCCAAGAGTAGCTTCTGATCCCTATTCTTCACTTGATGACATAGTATTTGCTCAATGGTTCTGGTATGAACACTTCTTCATTTTTAGTATATTTTTTCTATCATTCAGTGGAATGGAATCATCTGTTAAAGACGAAGAATCGCAGTATTTGCAGTTTTTGCTGCGTAATGAGTTTGAAAAAAGTAGTTTTCCAAAATCGTATGTTTATCAGATGTTTCTAGTTATTGCACTCAATTTTTTAGTTTCAATAGCCATTGGAAGAGAATCTATGGCCTAGTGTTCCTTCGTTGGCTAGGATACGATTCGGTTGAAGCTGTTGTGTAGGATGATTATTCATTTACGGTATCAACATCAATTTCAGGAAGCCGATTGCTGATCACCTTTCGACACAGACTGTCATAGATATCAGAACAAGTAAACTGTTAAGAGATATCTATGTTCTACGTCTTCCCTTTGAAAGTGTGATGTTAGACGAAGTTAGTTTGTTATAGTTACTAAATATTTATCACAATATTAAGTGGACAATCGAACAGAAATGCTTGTCTGTTGTACATGGTTTCAACTGTTTGACTTCTTCCCCTGATGAAAACAAGGTTGCTTTCGCTCGCTCAGTGCTGGAAGTTGTACTAGCTCTAGTTAAAAAGCTGACGAATATAGAAGCCCATAGTGTATCATTCAATTCAATGTATCAAAGTATTCAAATGTTTTCTAGGCTGCCTTAAACTGCCTGAGTAACTGGTTGAAGTTATTTTCAAATGATGTGAGACAAAACCAAATCCTAGTAGAGCAATGTAAAGTACAGGTGGCAATGGGTGACTATTATTTAGCTCAGTTTAAACTTAAAGAAATCGCGAAGTTAATCATATAACAAATATATACTCTATTTATACTTTCTCAGGGATACTCTGGCTACAACTGTTGCAGTTGAGGTGATGTGCGTACTATCTTCCATTTATGCAGACGATTTGAAGAACTTGGATGGTGGTATTCGAACAATGAGAGATGTAGTTTCATTGAAAAGTTTTTTTTCTTCAACTCGGATATTTTAGTTGATTGATTCTATACCGCAGGGGTCTAAGCAGACAACCTATTCTACGGCGTATCAACAGCTTTATAACTTGTTAGTACGAAAACTCTCTGATCTCGAAGGATTCATGGATTCATCTACTGCTAAACTCAAAAAAGAAGCAGTGGCGGAATGGAAACGGCAATTGAATCCGTCTAGGTTCAAATTGTTCAATGTTCGGTTAGGAATTTAAGTTCATTCAGCACTACTCTGAATGATAAGCAGAAACGAATTGTGGGACAAGAGTTGAAGTGCGAAGAAGAGGAGATACTACGAATGGATAAGGATTTGAGACAAACTGTCAATCTGACTGTAAACTCAGGGCTGAAACTTTTAAGTTTTTTACATTTTTTCTATCAAGATATCGAAGATTTTTTTCAAGAATCAGTTTCCCCGGCAGATAATACCAGCCCATGCACGAACACTAAAGAAGTTATTCAAATTCTTTTCCCGCTTTTGGATATAATTTTTCGCTATGAGAACATACCTGAAGTTTCAGATGCGTTGCGAGTGAGTTTTTTAAGACCGTTTGAATTTCACTGCTAAAGATTCAGATGTATGCTGTCGACTTCTCGCCTTCGGTTTGGCTTCCTGCTTTTCCTCATATTGTTTCCCACTGTTTCAAAGATGATTCTCTCTCGGTTGTCATACAGGATGTTCGTTACTGTATCATTTTTGTCTTGAAAAAGTTTTTTAGATGATAGTTAAATTAATAGTCGCTTACCCCTACCATGTTCTTCATACATTCCTAGCCTACAAATATGATGCGGAGGTGAGAACTACTCTTGGATTCACCCGACTCATAATGTTATAGAGGAATTCGCCGAATTCGGATAAGGTCAAGAAGCTCCTAATGTTTTCAATGAAAAGGGCGAAGGATTCATCAGCTTTGAAGAAAGTACTCCAGGATGTCAGCAACGCTCACACTGTTTATCGAAGTTTCAACTGGTTGAAAATTGAAGACACCGATCACTTCAGACCGGTTACAGTATCTGGAGGAAAAAGTTTTTTTTTTTCAACTTATGATTGTAAAATTAGCTTCTTTTTCAGCACAGTACGCCCTCACATCTCAAGTTTCTCTACTGGAGAATTTGAAAAGTTTGCTTGTGAATCTTCCTCTACCAACTGTGGCACAACCGGTAAAATAATAGACTAAATTGTGTCAGAAAATTTCTGTTAGGTTGGTCGAGCAGAAGACTATTCCACAGATAGTTTCGTCAAATGGGTAGAGATAGATTCTGTTGTCGACAAAGCTGATGGTTTGTCTGCACCCAAAATTCTAAGAGTAAGAGGATCTGATAATGTTTGGTATAAAATGGTTTGGAAGGTATGTTCGAATTTAAAACCGTTATGCACACTACTTTCTGCAGAAAGGTGAAGACGTACGACAAGACTCTCTCGTAGAACATTTGTTCGAAGTTATCAATGTTCTGATAGATTCCAACCAGCCTTTAAGAACTTATAAGGTTATTCCGTTAGATAGTCAAAGCGGTATTATAGAGTTTTGTAAAGGAACAAAGTCAATAAGTGAGTAAAGGACGTTCAGAACGGTTGATATTTCAAGGATGATTTTTTTGCAGAAGATATACTAGTTGGTCCAAACCTTCGATCTGGACTTCATTCAAAAATATATCCAGAAGAAGATCCTTCTACAGCAAGAATGAGGTTGGCACAAGCATCCAAGAATAGAGCGTGGCCGCCAAGTGTAGATGAATACAAAAGTATCTTACGAAATGTTACACCCGTTTTTAGGTAAAAAATAACTGAAACAGCTTTGTAATACAATAACTGCATTATTTTTTCAGACATCACTTTTATGATAATTTTTCTTCTGTCAAAGAATGGAGTAAGATGATCAATAATTACACTCAGAGTGTTGCGGAATGGAGCATAGGTTTTTCTTTCACTTCTCCTTTTATGAAAAAAACAATTAGTTTGCTACGTGATTGGATTGGGTGATCGCCACGCTAGTAATGTTTTGTTTGAAGAAGAAACTTCCAATTTAGTCCATATTGATTTAGGTAAGGGCGTATGTATATGAAAATAATATATTGTTTAGGTATGATCCTGGAGTTCGGAAAACGGATACTACAAATGCCAGAAAGGGTGCCCTTCAGATTGACTAGAGATCTGCTGGACCCAATACTGATTCAGGGAACGCATGGGAATCTGTTGAACCGGGCGACTTATACCATGGAAAAAATCCGTAAACACAAAGAGGTTTTTCTCTCCGTAAAAATCGGACTTTTTTTCACAATTGTATGTATTTTAGGTGATTTTGGGCGTCGCCTCTGTTTTTTTACGAGAAACGATGGGTCATTTCCGAGATTCTTCAGATGGCAACAAACCATCTTTTATGTCAGCCACTGCCATCAAACGTTTGAAAGATAAGTTAGAGGGAACAGATCGTTCCGTTTCTTCTGTCACTTCCCATATACAAGTTTGTTTCTTAGTTATTCAACAAAAAAGTGTCTCTTAAGGTTCAACGTCTAATGGCAGAAGCTACAAACATTGAAAATCTTTCAAAACTATTTGCGGGTTGGCTCTCTTTCATTTGAAAGCATTTTTTTGATTCGAAGGATAATAATGTTAATAATAAAAAGAGTTTTAGTTATACAAGCATTATTATTTATTACACGCGTATCAAGTGAAACAACCCTGCAATACATCGTTGCTATGAATATGAAAAACGACTAGATTTTAAAGTATAATATCCATATCACATAGTTGGTAAGTACCTTTCGATCCAAAGAATATGATTATTAAATTAAGTAAGTCGAAATATTGTACATAAATTGAAATCATCTTCTGAGCAATTGATGAAATAATAATTAAGATGCGTTAAGGAATACAAAGAATCGTAAATGAGACCCGAAATAGTTGCATTATTACATATTAGCCTAGAATATTCTCAATCAGAATCTACGTATTTCCTACTCTCAGCTGTTATTTTGCCTTCAAAAACTGGCAGTATGGTTGAATCATCTGAGATCAAGCTCCACTGGTATGGGGCTGTTGCATCGTCACACGTGCTTTTGAACAACAATCTATGAGAAATGTAAGTTGAAGAACATATGTAGAACTCTTCTATACCTGCTATTTTCTCTACGGGATATACCAAACAATCTTCGGAATTCTGATAAAGTCATGCATCTGTTCTCCACATTTGCGACATAAGGAGCTTGTTCTCCTTCTTTCCACAAAGTACATTTAACCTTAGGTGTATCAACAGAGTATCTCCTGGAATATAGAAACTTAAACGGAAAACTTTTCTAATTCACATACGGTAATGTAGCGAAATGACTGAAAGGGGCTGCATGACCTTTCGAGGATAATAAATTATTTGGGCGCCTTAAGGTTTGAGCTGAATAATGGGCTGGATTGCATGGAGGAGTTGAATGGAGACTGTGATTGAGTGCTGAATCGAAACTACTAATGTTCATCTATGACTGTTGGATTAGAAACCTGATCTATGATTTCCATAGCTTGGATCAGAAAAGTACGCACTTTCAGAGCTGCAGAAACCAGAAGAATCAGGAAAGTTGGTATTCCTTGAATAAATATGATTAAAAGCTTTAGGAGTTACTGTCAAACCTCTTTCTGTTGGATAGAAACGATGGAATTTTAACATTGAAATCATATGGAGGTGGAGCAAAGCCGTTTTCACCGTAAGGATTGGTTGCTCCACTAACATGTACTGAAGTACCTTCTTCTGAACTTGATCTCTCTCTTTGACTATCTATTTTTCCAATGTATTTATCAACTTCTTCATCACTTATAGTCAAACTTTGATCGTCGATTACAAACGTTTTCGTTTTATCACGCCCAGTAGACTTTGGTAAATCTCTGAAAACTTGAACATAAAACAGATTGTAAAAGCTTATCTACCTTGCATATACATCATCACCAGCATTCGTTAGTTGTCTCGCAATTTTTTGTAGCTCTTCAATCAAGAGAGCAGCAAAGTGTTCCCTTTCATCAGGCTTTTCATGTCGAATGCACAAATCAGCATTCTTAAACAGAATAAATATAAGTGACACATCCACACTAGATACCTTGAAGTTCTTTTCGTATTTAGCACTGAATGAAGGAATATGAAGACCGTCTGCGTTTTTACTTGTCGAAGGTCCGGACAAGTAGCTAGGTCTGAAAGTAAGACAATAACTATAGAAATGTATAAAACTATTACTTTCTAGAGCTCTTCTTCCCAGGCAGAGCTAATGTGTTAAAATTAGCATCAGGGAAAACTAGTTCAGTATAGCCAGTTTCTTGTCCTTCAGAGCATCGTAAAGCCACCAGCTGGAAACACGGATTTGTAATGGTTAAAAAAGATAGATGAAATTACTTTATGGAATGGTTCAGAGCACGCAAAATGAGAATACCATGTATGGAGGACGTTTTTCAGAGGAGAAATGACAGGATCAAAAATATTGGGATTCAAAGAAGAATGTGATAACGCATGTATACGCTGTGACATTTCTTTCCTTATTTCGACAGGAAGGAAAGTACATTTGCCAGTTCGAAGACTAAAGAAAACGATATGAGAAGAGAAGTGAAAGAACAGACAACCTGATGAAACGTCGGTGAACTTGAGAGGCAACATTGGCAGCAGACGAGTCTCCTCTTTGTAGCATTTCTTTGAAGCCTTTTATGGCAAAATATAAATCTACTGCATCTATCGTTCGTAATGGATCCTAATAAACTGAGTGATGACAAATGGACAGTGAACAAGTAAGTACCAATACTATCCATTGTTTGAATACTCCCAAAGCTTCTGCATCTTGTAGAACAGAGTCCAATGTGGAAAAGGGAGAACTCATCTGAAAATTGACAGAAAATTTAACAAAAACACAAAAAAGATAAACATTCTGCTCCGGAAGTACGATACGTAAGAGTGATAAGAAGGAAGAATTATTAGAAATAGATAAATTTTTCTTGCACAGATATAACGTTTTCAGTAGCATGAATGAGGAGAGAAGAAGAAAAGGTGTTCATACGAAGCTTTTTAGGTGTAAAATCGTTTGAAAGCATGAAATGAAAGGACAAGCAAAAACTCAGCGGTGAAATGAAAGAGCAAGCGAATGATCGTTGTGAAGAAATCAAAAGAAAACCACTAAGAACTTTGATGACTTTAAAACAATAAAATTAGATAGATAGTTAAGAAATGAACAAAAACAGGTTAAAGACAACATTTTGTGCGAAAAATACTTTCGAACCATCATTTGTGTTTCTTATCAGTAGACAAAATTTTCATGAAACCTTCAGATGAAGCCGACTCAAAACGTCATGCACAAGCTATGATCATAAATGAAACAAGACAGAGTCAAAGCATTGAAGATGGAAAATAAAAGCGACAAGCATGATCGATGGATGTAGTTGAGTATAAATAAAGAAACTTTGTTGATTAACACCACAAGGAGATGTCGTACAAAAGCAAAAATAGATTCAAAGACATATGGTGAATCTTGGAAGCAGTGTGTTAAGATTATTGACAGCACAGTCGTCGAAGAATGGGCCATCTGCTAAGGCGCCAAACAAGATGGAACAAAGAAGGCGAAGTCTGAACATGAGAGAGAGAATAGGAGGAATAAGACTGAAACATTGAGCTTGGCATGTTGTAGAAGGGCATAGGAAAGAAGAAGAAGAATAAGATTGAAAAGCAGCTACAAGAACCAGCATGTTCCTGTTGCGGTATATGAAAACTGTCGTCCTCAAACTGAAGATGTACCGAACGAAGGCGATGAGAGATAGATAAGACGCAACAAATGGAACCGACATCATGACGGTTTACTTTGAAAGAGAGGAGAGTTCGAATCACATAGAATCATCGTAGAAAAGAACATTTTAAAACTCAAGAGGAAAAAATCAGATAGGGAGGAGCTGTGGATGTCCGTAGGCATTTTAACGTCAACGTGACTCCGGTTTGGAAGCAGAAAATTGGACAAACATAACGACGACAGCTGCATGGTTTGACAGGAGTCGGGCGGGAAATGAGGTACAGGAAGGAAGTAGAGTGATTAAGATCATGGAATTCGAGATAGAACTAGGAGAAACAAATAGACAGATTGGACATTTGAGTGCAAAAAAACAAAAATGCGTCACATTGTTGTATATGTGAAGGATGTGAAATGATGGATGTGAGCAATTGGCCAAGACGCTGATTGGATAAGTGGAGCTCTTCAGTTTGATATAGTTTGATTCAGGAGAAAACATGAGTGCGAACAATATGAAGAACGATATGGATAAGCAATATTTCATGATGCACGTAGGATTCTTAAGAAAGTGGAGCAGCTGAAGGACGAAAGCAGCTGGATTGAGAGGCGGAGAAGAAGGAACGAAACGAATAGATGTACATTGATTCGGACAAACAGTCAGCAGTCATGGTATGCAGAAGAATGATCAGAAATTATAATAAGTGGTGATAACAGCAGAAAAAGTGATGGAGACAAACAATCAGAAGTAGTGACAAATGCGCCAAATAGGCCCATGAGGACAGATTATTAAGAAGTGCTCCGTCAAAAGATGACAGACAGATGAAGAGCAAAGCAGATGGAAAGACCATGGATAGAAGCAGACTTAACCAAAATAGACAAAGCACTGAACATAGTAGTGGGAAAGAATGGTTTTATGAGAAAGAAAGCGAGTGTTAAGAGCAATAAATGACATTACACTAACTACTAAAGTCTTCGATTAACAGTTAGAGTTTAACTTATAAAATATAAATTCATCTTCTCTCTATCTCATCAGCAGAGGAATCATCATGAACGAACATATTTACAAGAAAGATCTATCTTATTATGTCTGTCGGTTCGATCATTTCAGTATTTATTCAGAGAAAATGACCGAAACTTGGATTATTTTTTGAAGAATAGATTAATCAAGAACAAGAAGTTGAAATAAAAGAAAGAGAGACTTGAGGCAGAAGAAGGCGGTTAAAGCACCAGTCAGAGTGATAGATGGACCTAGTTACGTTTCCAACACGAAGAAACTAACGATTATTGCTTTTCTATCTTAACTGTGATTTGAATTCTTTCCAAAAAGTATGCTAAGAGGGAAATAGAAGAGCAATTGTTGATCAATCAATAAAGAGGTTCATCTCGGAAACACAACAGTAGCTTTAAGGAACACAGCATATCAGATAGGAAGAGCTTAAGATTGGAGCATCACAAAACAAACGAATTGCAAAAGCTTTGAAGCAAATAGAGATCTCTAAATCAAAACACATGAAGTACATTGTATGAAGCGAAATCTGTTTCTCGGAATAACATATTTTTAAAAGGAAAATGACCCGCGAAATCAATATGTTCCGACAGTTCTCAAGAATGTGCTCAATGTTTTTCTCATCTGTGAATAGAAAGCATTCAAAAAAATGTTGAACCAGTGTAAAATGCGAGAGCAGGAAGATTTGAGACAAAAATGTGAAGAGTATGAATCAATAGACAATCATTTGTCATTAGGGTTGGCGGCACTTCAAAGACGCAGCTGATATGGGCCAGTCTTTCATGTAGCCGCTACTTTCGAAGTAGCTGAACGTGACTACTCTTGAAATAAGCTTGTACTGATGAAAAATAGACTTGGAGAATTTAGAACAATGTTGAAATTAGTGTATCGCTCATTCCGGTAACAGACAACCTTTCAGGTGTACTGAAATTATGAGATTTTGAAATTTTCACATTTGGGTACAAATAATCTTGCTATCACGGAAAAATAATCGTTCTCATGAGAAAAACAGTATCTCAGCTGTTTCAGCCTTTTCATACAACATCTCATCCGGTGCTCTGTATTAGTTCATTAAGCTTGTGGCATGAACCGCGCTCTAATGATAATGCGTGCGTTGCGAGCGGTTGGGCAAAATACGAAATTCATTTTTAGAGAACTTAAGCTTTCAACTGGTCTTCTTTGAAAGATGAATGTTTTATGATTATATTTATCATTTTCGTTGTTTTGTTTATGATCTTTTCAAACTTATGTATGCATGTGTTGTGCTCATTTTAATCCACGCTTGATATACCTTTTGTAAATGTATGTTCTATAGGGTTTTCATCCAAAAACACTCAGAATGGTGCGAGTTATAATCAAGGGAGGTGTTTGGAGAAACACCGAGGTAAAGTCGTTGCTGGTTTCGGTTTTTAACATTTCTTTGTTTCAGGATGAAATCCTCAAGGCTGCTATCATGAAATATGGTAAAAACCAGTGGAGTAGAATCGCATCTCTTCTGCATAGAAAATCCGCTAAACAATGCAAAGTTAGTTTGAGAATTTGCAACTTCTCTACGGAGTATATTCTAGGCTAGATGGTATGAATGGCTCGATCCTGGAATTAAAAAAACAGAATGGTCTCGTGAAGAAGATGAGAAGCTTTTGCATTTGGCTAAATTGATGCCAACACAATGGAGAACCATCGCTCCCATTGTTGGACGTACCGCAGCCCAATGTTTAGAAAGGTGTTTTTATTTAAAGTTTGTGATATTATTCTCTTATTAAGATACGAGCATCTCCTGGATGAAGCTCAAAGAAAAGCTGAAGGGCTAGATGATGAAGTAGCGGAAGCTAAAAAGTTGAAACCTGGAGAGATTGACCCAACTCCTGAAACTAAGCCAGCAAGACCTGATCCAGTTGATATGGATGACGATGGTTTTTATCCTAGATAACGAACCTAATATGTTTTGTTTTAGAGTTGGAAATGTTATCTGAAGCAAGAGCTCGTTTAGCAAACACTCAGGGTAAAAAAGCTAAAAGAAAGGTGGGATTGTAAATTTATCAACGCTTTATTTTTATTTTTTAGGCTAGAGAACGTCAGCTTTCGGAGGCTCGTAGATTAGCTTCATTACAAAAAAGACGTGAAATGAGAGAGGCTGGGTTGCTTGTAGGAATGTATAAGAAACCCAAGAAAGGGCAGCTCGATTACAGTGCTGAGGTGAAAAAGTTTCAGGTTTATATCTCAATGTTTCTATTCTAGATTCCATTTGAAAAGCCTGTACCTGCTGGTTTCCATGATCCCAAAGAAGATGTTTATAATAAAGATGATCAACTTCAAAAGGTAAAATCATTGTTTTTTTGATCATAGTATCATGCGTTGTTCAGGCTATTGATGATCACATGAAACCTAGAAGATTAGAGAGAGAAATCGAGATGAGGAAACAGGACAAAGAAAAGTTGAAGCGCAAGAAGTTTGTAATTTATATTGAAACTTTCTTATTTTCTCTTTTCAGAACTGATGATGAACCAGAAGCTGTTTTCAAGAGTAAAGACAAGAAGAGAAGTAAACTGATTTTACCAGCTCCACAAATTTCTGAACACGAGATGGAACAAATTATAAAAATTGGTTCTTCAAGCGATAGCGTCAGACAATATGCAGATGGAACAGCTACAAGGTTTTGATTGTTAACGTCCATTCTCATTTATTCAAATATGCAGCTCTCTTTTAACGGATTACGCTGCTTCTGCTCGTGCCAATGCTTCTGCAGCCAGAACAGCGAGAACACCAGCTGCTGGTAATACTGTCCAAAGAGTAAGTTCATTTTGGTTTTCACAGAATAATGGTTAATGATGTGTGATAGTGTTTATTAAACGCGCCCGTTTCGCTGCATACTTTTGACGTTCTTGAATACGCGATCATCATGCGCGTTCAATGTGAATAAATGGAGAAACTGATTAGAATTTCATAGTTTTGTGGGCGGGCCCGTACTTCCAATATAAGGTGGTAGAAGTTCAGTTGAAACTATTTCGAAAAGAAATTATTGTCTTTTTATCCAAATTTTAATTTATCATCTCATTTTGGAACCTTTTCTTCAACTGCTGTATCATTTATTATTGGTGCTCCTGAGTTTAGAAAATGTACATAAGAAAGAAATACTTTATACACATGCTTTTATTTTAAAAAATATTGTATGTCCCCTCATTTGTTCCTGGTGGTATGTATATGTAGTCTGTAGGCGTTGTGAGTGGAATACATAATGCGCCGCAATGGATAATTCCATTGGCGACAGCGCTAAACACCTGAATACGGTAGTTTAAGAAAAACACGATCTGTTTATATTCCTAGCTTTGATGTCCTTTTTATTTTTGGCCATTTCATATTTAGCTCTTCCATTTTATAGGAGGTTGAAACAATCCTCGCCCTGCAAAATGTTGAAACACCACTCAAAGGAGGATTGAACACTCCATTAGTCGAAGCAGATTTCCGTGGTGTTTTACCTACACCTCAAATTCAAGCTACTCCTAACACAGTCCTCAATGCTGTTGCTGCAACACCCGCTAGCACTTTTGGTGGTGAGTTCACTTTTACAGTGCAAGCTTGAAAATACATGCTTTTTAGCCACGCCATCTGTGACAGGATTCACTCCTGCGTCTACTCCTTTCCGTGATTCCATGGGAATTAATGAAAGCGGAGTTTCAGCACTCGAAGCTAAAGCGGTATGTTCACAATGTGAACATGAAATGATTTACAAGGCTCTACATTTAGGATTTGAGAAGAGCTCTGGGAAATCTTCCTCAGCCGAAGAATGATTACGAGATTGTTGCTCCAGAAGAAGATGAAGAGAAGGAAGAGGTAATGCAGACTTTCTGAACGGTTGTATATTCTGAAGTTAGGACGAGGACGTCGAGGATTGGATTGAAGATGCGTCTGAATTAGACGAGGAAAGAGCCAAAAGGAGAGCGTTGCAACGACAAAAAGAATTTGCTCGTCGAACTCAAGTTTGTACACATTTTTTGTCAAATAATCAATTCTCATTCTTCAGGTTATTCAGAGGCAGTTACCAGTTCCATCAAAAGTTAACAGCTCGGCGTTCCAACCTGCTGGTAACAAAAATGATAATAAGGTTCACCTTCACTTCTGATCACGTTTATTGTTCAATCGTAGAGTGATGATGCCATTAAAGCCGAAATGTTGAAGTTGGTTGAATGGGATGTTAACAAAAAGCGTCCAGAAGATGTGTACTCTCCGGAAGATATGGAAGAAGCAAGAAAAATTATCCAGTAGGAGGCAGCTAGAGACCAGATATAATTGTAATGCTTCAGACAAGAGATGGAATTGGGTGAACCTTACAACGAGCAAATGGTCTCGGTTGTTGATCAATGCATGAGTGAATTAACCTATTTACGAGGAAAATTCCTTCGATTGGGAACTTTGAATAGAAATGATCAAATCGAAGCATTGAACGGACAGTTCCAGGTATTAGATTTTATGAGGAAAAATTCTATTTTTTCTCTTAGTTGTACAAAGATTGGATGAATACACGTGCTAAAAGAACAGCGAAACTGGAGAAAAAACTCAAAGTAAAACTTGGCGGATACATGGTCAGTCTATTTTCTTTCATTTCTGAAGTTGAGCCCTCTATCTGCTTCTATGTTTGCATTTTTCCACCAGTGTTGAGAGCTCATGCTGTTTTATTGGCAACCGCGTGTTGCTTCCTTCTATTACCGTAATTTATGCTGGGGAGAGGCGGGTTAGAAGGGCAGCGTAATTTCGCATGTAGATTGTGTTATGTCTAAGACCGTAGTTTAATTTACTTTCTAGTATGGATACATAAGTGAGTGAATTAGTAGAACGATGCAATCTTTCAAAATTAGTATGTATATGCGAACAGAACACCTTGCGCAAGTTTTTTTGCTGAGGATGTGGATCAATGAGCATGGGAATTTCTGTCGACATTAGAAAGATCCCTGTCCAGCAATTTTTTCTTTGTTATTATCACTTGTTACGCTCTGCATTAAACCGCTAAGGAAGTTTTCCTAAGTGCCCTTTGTTGACCCTCGGTTCCTTTTTCGTTTACAGCCTTAAGGGTTAGTCGTAATGGTGCCATGATTATTGTCAATTTGAAAAACAAAAGCACAAGGGAGACTTTTATGATTGATGGGAGAGCATCTATAGAATTCCTTTTAATTGAGGTGACAGTTCACACATTCCATCAGTCTTGTCACTGCACTTCTTTCATTTATTGTCAATGAGCAGTAAAATAAGAATATTTTAAAAGATTTACTGCTAATTCTGGATTTTCAGTCTATCGCTCAAAATTTGACTCAGAAACTAAACGAAACTTTGAATGAAATCGACATGGCTGTTATTGAGAAGGAGACATTCAGGTAGTTTGTGCATCCTATTACATTCCAAATGAATAATTTGAAGTCGATTGGCTGCTCATGAGGCCAAAGCCATCAATAAGCGTTTGAATAAACTATCAGAAGAGGTTACAAAGCAAGAAGAACGTGAGAGTGAACTGCAGAAAGAGTTCTCAGATCTAAAAAGTAAGATAATAGTGATTTGAAAAAATCTTTGAAATAATAATTTGTAGACAAAGAATGGATCATCCAACAGGCAGAAGCACGCAGTCAAGCAACGACAATTTCAGATCCCGTTGCATATTAATTTATTTTATTGAGTCCAATCGTTTTTATTGTTAGTAATGTTGATACGTTTGAGCTGGCATTTTCATTGTTTTATAAAATCTTAACAGCTCATACTAATTCAGCCGATTGGATGCATTGGGTGAAGAGGGTATTATCCTCTAATCTGACTTTTCATTGCTTTTGCTGTGTCGGCCTACTTGATCTAATCCCCAACGTTTTCAAATTCGAGTCTTTTCTGATCTTTAAAATTACAATCATAAGACTATTAATTTGGTTATTGTTATGATTCCGTTGTTAAGAAATTGAAGTTCATTACTCACCTAGTTGTGAAAGCTGGAACGTTGTTCAACTGAATAAGTGTAATATAAATGATTTGGTATAACTGTTTGTAACCGTTCGAGGATTGCTTTCTTGACATATCTGTTGTTGGCTTGGCTGTGATCATACCACACTCTTACTTGTCCGTTTGTATTTTTGTTCTTTGTAGTGGTTCAATTCTTTGATGTTAAAATCGAGACATCGTTCCTCCGAGGTTGCGATGTAAATGGGATGTGCAATTGAAACTAGCCCTCCGACAAAAGGAATTTGTTGCCAGTCTCACAGCTGGAAATAAAGTGGAGTAGGAGGTGATAGGGTCGGAAACCTTCAAATTCACGAGACGCCCAGGATACCGTCTGTTTATTCAAGGTACGAGTTGTTTTAAGAAAAAATCTTTGAATGAGCCGATCTCTTAATGGGGTGGTAGCTACTAAAGCATTTTTCGAATGTCTTCGTAATAACGGTTATGTCTTCATTTGACAAGTAATGGGGGAATCAAAAATCTTTGGTATTGTTGTTGTAGTCGTATAATATCGTAACTGAATATGAAACGGCTCATGTGATAATACCGCTTACCCTTCTCTTTTATTTTCCCTTTTGTCTCATCTTTTTTTCTCTTTCTGGTAGTTTTAGCGACGGGATTATTGAACATGAGTTGTAGGAGCTAATATGCATGCTAGGTATGCTAGTTTAGTGGCTGGGTAAAGCAAGTGATGTGTCAGGTTATGCATAAATTAACGGCTGATCAAATATTACCGGCCAACAAGGATTATATACTCAGTATGAAACGTGAGTTCCTTCAGGTCTTTGATGTTAAAGGTGATCTAATGGTTGTGATTGAAATAAAGAAGATCATAGTATGAACTCAGAGTCTTTCCATTTGGCTTACTGTAGCTCTCTGAAAAGCTTGTCGTGTTTTTGGGATCATGGCATAAATATGATTGATGCCGTATGTGTGACCCTGTGTCTCTAAGTCTATAGAAGATTTTGCCTGTTGCACTCTTTCTGAAGCATGTATAGAAAATACAAAAACAGAAGAAAGAATGACAGAAATGAGCCAGCTGATGCGAGATCCAATAGACAAGGTCGAGGAGGCAAAGAATCCTTTATTTCATCCCTTTCTAGTTGGGATTAACTGGTTGACGTGCCAACCTGACAATTGCAGGTGGCTCTCTTGGTGCTCAGAATAGCTTTCGTGAGGATTTGGAAGAGAAAAGACGGTCATACTTTGATGTGAAGAGCTCTTAACCACTATTAAACTCGAGACGCTTCACCTTAATACTGTTTAGAATCTCATTTAAAGGGTGAAGTTAGAACAATGACTTTTTGAACATATTAGTTTGAATGATCCGAGATCCAATTTCACACTGATAGACGAGAGCTCATATGACAACTGATGGCAGATGATGATGGTGTCATTGGAATATGATGTGACAACAATTAGAGTAGAAGAGCGACGTGTGAATAAGTCCATTCAAACATAGTCTTGCATCATCATGGTTACCAGCTGCAAGCTCACATGCGATGACAAGCTGAACGATGATCAATCTGCTTTTAGAGAAAGCAAATTGTTTCACACGTCAACAGATTTATCGGAATGATTTGCTGTTTAAAATACGGTTTTATTCGACATGACCATAAATATTGATTGGAAGACACCAAGTAAAGCATGGAAAGCTCTATTAGCCTGGTACGCCTGATGTTTCCTTTTCGGGAGACGCACAGAACGGTTGATTTAGTTATATTCACTCAGTTTCCACAGGATGTTTCTTAAGCCCTTGTTAGAGTCGAAGGAAAAAGTTTTGCACATTGTAGAACTGAGGATGTTAGAGAGATTCTCCATTATTAAACCTAATTTGGTGGGCGCTACCGTAGTCTCTCCTCACATCGTGCTAGGTTAGACTGAAGTTGAATAGTTACTACGAGAATAGTGTAGAATTAATTTACTAAAGGAAGGCATATATCACAATTTGGTCACACATTCATGAAATGAATGAATAAACATAGATTTGTTTTCAATTTATAACTTTTTGAACAAGACTATATGTTTGGTTGAGTAGAATAATCGGTTAATCATAATTATAATGATAATATTAGTATTATAAATAATTATGCGTTAAAGAGAAAGAGACAAGGCGATTGGCTTCAGGAAACAAGCCATCGCTACCCTTTTTGAACAGACAGGGAGGACAGTATTAAAAGAATGTCATCATTCTTACCTAGTATTAGCTTACAAAATAAGAAAGTACAAAGAACGTATAAGCAACAGTAAGTGAGGTCAGTGGATAGATGTCTTGCTTTAACTTTTGCAGTTTATCTTATTTAAAATATGGAACAAGCCGTGGAATGGCACACGCACAGGGTCGAGTCATAGCTCATGAGACTAGAAGATCCAAAAATAAAGTTTGAAAATGGACATGAAGTGATTCTTAGAGCTTAAATGTTTTCTGAGATTTTTATAATTCAAAAATAAACTTTGGAAAGCTCAATCTAGTATATCATATTTGGGAAGAAGATTGGTTCAACAAGAAAGCTCCTTCGTAATTGAAAAGAATATGTTCGTCTCGTCTATTGGAGATGTGACCCTACGAATGCTGGTTGCATCAGTCCATTCGCATAGTTAAAAAGCTCCGGTGGATATGGATTTTGGATGACTCCACTACCAGCACCGGCGCTACCGTTGCCTCCTCCAACATTCAGATGAACGTTCTCGTATTGCGGTGTCATGCGTTTTTCCTTTTGTCTGCGGTTACAGAACCACACTCGGACAACCTGAATGAGGTAGTTGTAAAACAGATAGAAGATATGTTTGGCATACCTCCTTTTCAAGTTGTAGCTCCATTGCCACCTGAGCAATTTCTTGAGCATTTGGCTTTTGATTCTTTTGAAAATGAACTTCCAGTCGAGACTTAACGTTTACCTAAAATAGGTAGATGAGGATTAATTAATTGAGTTTGAGAGCGGTATACTGTATTTGAACTTTATTCTCATCTCTCTCATTTTCTATCCCCTCAGCTGAATAGCACAGGTTTCGCTCATCTCTCAAACCACTCTCTCTCCCTCTCTCTCCCATTCTTTCCAATTCTATTCTCCTTCGTAATATCTGTCATGTCAATAACAAAACTACCGTAACTATTTCTATTTGAGACAGAACTGGATGCTCAAAATTTGGTGTTTGAAAGCGAACAAATCGATTATGAAGATGGGAAATTAGTAGCTAACCTCTATGCTTGTTCTCTTCTTCCGTTTGCGCCCTCCTTGCCCTGTCATTTTTTCGAAAGTACTCGGAGATGATGATGTTGAGTCGGCTTCCTCCAACCATTTAAATAGTAACGGCTTCAATTTACACATATTCTATAAATAGGATAGTTGAAGTTCGACAAATGGTTAACTCAAACAACTTTTTGTTGTTTTGATTGAAATGTTAATGTGAATCAGGGAAAGAGAATCTTGGGATACGTGAGAATTTGGTCATTTACACGTTTTTTTCTGTCTCGAATTGAAAGATGATTCCGCTCATGTGAAAGGACTACAGAAAACAAACAAGACTCATGAAAGTATTGCGAAAATGACCTTGTTTAAGCCGTTGTGATCAGTTTAGAAAAACTTGAAGAAGTTAGTATTTCACCTTAAATGATAATTGTAATGCTTCGAATCGACAAATAGTCGTCTGTGAGAATACATTGCCGTACAAAGTGCCCAACGCTAAGCCAACATCTGCCTGAGTATATCTGTAATCGTTTTGTTGGAAAAATGGGTTTTTTTTTTACAATCAATCTACCCTAATTTGATCCTTCGTTGTTTGAATTGTTTTGCAAAGGACTCGAGATCATCATTACATGCAACTTCTGAATCGTCCGACATCTGCGAATGGGATGCAGCGTCATCTCCCGAAGATGGGAATGGGTATGTCCAGGGATGGGACAACCTCTGAATAACATCTGGACGGTCGACTTCAACCTGGAAAAACTGTGTTGAAAGTATTTGTTATTTCGTTCGTTCATGATCCAAAACATCAAGTTAAGTTTGAGGAAGAAGGAGAAGAGAAGGAAGAAGAAATGGACGTCGTCTTTGTAATCAATTGAAACGGTCGGTGACAAACGATCCATAGCCATTCGATGTCTTCAACTGATTCTATCGGACATTAAAGACCATCTTTATTCTCTTTATAATTTCCTCTTCGTTCTATCTTCCATTGAGGTAAAGCGTTTCTCTTCCGTTTTTCCTCATTTTCTTAACTTTACGAGACAAAAATATAAAAACGAACCTTCATCTCATTGGGTTGTAGCATTGCGGGAGGTAATGGATGAGGCAAGTGTGGATATGCCCAATCAGATGGTTGAAACAGAAAATTAAAGTTGGATGCTGTCGGAACAGCTGTGGCTGCCGTTGGATATGGCATGGGTGTTGTGCCGGTAGCTGCAGCTGCAGCCACAGAAGCACTAGAAGGTGGCCAATCTTGGAATGAGGCATCACAAGTTTGCTTGATAACTTGAAACTGAAATAATAAAATAAATAATCTAGTAGATGTTTGCTTCTGTTCTCTCTACAGTAGAAGTTAATGGATTGTAATTGTTTCAAGAGCTGTTTGATAGTATTTGGATGACAAAATAAGAGAGGTATCCACAAACTCAACTACAGCATATTGTAGTTTGATTGAAGCAAGTTGTTGAGTCAACGACTATAAACGGCAGAAAAATATAATGATGAAGAAGCCATAGATTTGTATGCAGTACCATGTCCAAATATGGGAAAATGAGATGAAAAACCCTGTCTACTCCCAAGTGTTTTTATGAACGTTCGCGCTCAAACGTCTGAAGAGTTGAGCACGAATGAATTGAACGATAAAAGAAAGAATGACGAATCAATAAAGATCAAATGGAATACTGACGAGGTTTTTTGAGATGATTGGTGAGACTGTTTTCATAAAAACAGATTCAGATGGCGAAGTAATAGGTGAAAGGATGTTTGAAAGGATGACTTTTACAGCTTTTTAGAAGTTAGTACTTAGTGGAAAAGAAGCTGAATGAAGCTAATATTTGGACGATTTATGGAGGAGACTGCATAGCCTTAGGCTAAAAAGAGTAAAAAGACGGTTGAAGCTGAGAATGTTGGGCTTGATAACGTGGAAACGGCAACATTCCGCTAAGGAGTGAAAGAGGGGATAGCAGTCTGCAGAGAGAATGAGAGAGAAGGAAGAGGAAAAGCATATGCCGAGGATTGGATAGATAAGGAGAGATTTAAGCAAGTCATTGGGGGGGGGGGGTTCCTACGTAAGTTCTCATGAGATAATTTGGGTGAGAAAAGAAAATCAATTAGAAATAAAGGGAAAGAATACGAGAATATAACATAAGCGATATCAATGTTAGCATACCTGAGCATAGTTTGCTACTTGCTGTTGCTGTTGTTGTTGTTGTTGTTGTTGCTGTTGTGTAGCTTGTTGCTGCTGTTGCTGTTGAAGGACAAGATCATCCGATGCCTGAGGGCATATCGGATTGCTGGCTGTCATCAGCATTGTTCCTGTAGCGATTACTATCTTGACTGATTAGGGCTGGCACAAGCAGCCGAATGAGTCAAAAAATCTGAAATAATATATTGAGTAGAGAAGGACCTGGATGATGTTGGGAAAACGAATGAAAAGGACGTTGATGTGGAGAGAGACCGTACGAATCAGTTAGCAGGCGAGAAATTAGAAAGAATAAATGAAGAATGAAAGATGGAGATAGATGAGTGAGTTCGAAGAATGATAGAAAGCTATTTGGTTGATTCCCAAATGGACAAGCTTTGTCTTGAGATGGCAAAAGGATGGTTTATGTCTTAAAAAACTTGACTTGATTAATCAAAACGGCTTAACAAATACATAAAATATTATAATTTACTAACAGCATCAACACATAGAATCTCATTGAGTAACTGCAATGGATTTTGAAGAAATCTGGAGACACACACATGCATATTCACTCGCTCACACGGAAGGAGAGAGAGAGAAAGAGCCTTGCTTTGAAAGGAGAGGTTGGTCTTCTCCCTGCCTTCGTCAGCACACGGACCTCCGGCGTGTATGATTGGCTGGACACGCCCCCGCACACGTCACGCCCCCTTGTACGGAAGAGCGAAAGACAGCTACGGCTGTCTCTTGCTATTCGATTGAATATGATGTAGATATAGTAGAGTAAAATACACATATATGTATAAGAAGAAAAAATGGTCATATATAGGAAAAAGAGGCTATTCAGTCAATAGATGCAGTTTTGTTTAAGATTTTGCTCGACTGCCGACTGTGTTCGGAGAAGCTTGTTAAGCATTAGAATATAACGGCATTTCCATATATAGACGGGACAGCTCATTATGCTGTAGACGACGTTTAAATGAGGTCTTTTCATTGAGGAGATGATTTACATAAGCAATGAGGTGATGAGATGGGTGGCAGAAGCCGTCAAGTAGCTTAAGACGACAGGTAATCCCAATGAATATCATAAATATATATGTATGTGTGCGTATAAACATATATCTATCTATCTATATATATATATATATAAATGTATGCAAAATGTATTTATTAGAAGATTTAGGAGGTGCAGGGGGTTAAGCTTGTGAAGAAGTGAGCAGAGGACGAATAATAAATAGTTTAATGGAGTTATAAGAAAATAGAATTATCACGAGCAGTCAGAAGACAATCAAACTTCTAACACATAACAATGACATTTCCACATTTCAACAGAGTGTTGACTGCGTACAGTTCAATTTCTCTAACTCTTCAACATCACATTCCATTCGAACCTCAGTATTGTCAGCCAACTAAGCCTAATCTGTCTTGTTCTTCTGGTCGCTGTGCCTGAAAATAGATGAGAGCTATCCTATTACTCTCCCTTCCTCCCTCCATATTTCGTTTTCTCTTTTTTTCACTCTATAAATGATAGATCATATCATTCTTATGAAGACAACGAAATCCTCCGAAAGCAACTTCAATCTTTATTGATTACTGTAGTTTGAAAATCATCTGATGATATACAGTATGTAGCAGATTGTCAAATGACAAGCTGTTCGCTGCTGTAACGGTAAAAGCCATGAGGTGTTTTTACATCCTACGAATGAATCGCTTTCAGTTTCGGATGAAGAGTAACTTTTCTTTTTCTCTTTCAATTTTCTCTTTTTGCCTCTTTCCCATTCTTAAATAAGCTTTTAGACTTCTAACTCAACACTTCGAACACGTCTGAAATGTGTTTTTGGAAGACAGCTTGTTGCCATTTATGGCCCATAGTTTACTAGATGAGATTTCTTTCTAGAGAACAAGGCCAACTGCTTGTATGGTTGTACGTCAAGCTGGTCTCAATCTTAATGGATTATGACCTCAGGGCATGAAGCTTTCCCTCCTCCACACGTGGTGTACAACAATTCTGCTGGTAATGATGGAACATTTGACTTGTAGATTGTAATCGTTTCCTTCTCATATCTGCTCTGCCTTTTTGTTTTCAAATTTATGATTCGAGAATGAGTTAGTTCTCATTTGATCTGACAATAAATCTCACTATCTCATGTACTTCACCAATTGCATAATTTTCTCAGAGGCATTCCTTTAATCTGTCAAAAACCGTTTGCAAACGTTTCGGCTCATCTTTAATGAATCGTTTAAGCTAAATAAATGCTTAATAGACCACTTGAAATGATTCGTCTGCTCTTCATTTTTTTCTTCAAAAATCAATTGACATAGATGAGAGACAGCTGAAACAAAGAGAGCCAGACGTATAAAGTTAGAGAGTATAAGAATTTTTGTGTCAGGTTCTTATTGCATGCATTTCAACTTTAAGGTATTTCCGTTATGTGCCTGACCTCGTAGGTAAGTGAGTTCCCATGGGGCACTTGGCCCCACTTGGCTTACCGTTCAGATGCGAACCGACTGTGCCGCTATGCAGTGATAGTAGCTCTGATCTCATCTAGTATGGATTAATGACTGAAGAGGCTTGAGATATAAAACCTTTTTCCCAACATTTAGTTGGAAACTCAGAAAGGATGGTTTAAACTTCTGTATATGCCGATGTCAACTTGACCATGCTCGTATGACAGGCTGAGCAATTGTGTTTTTGCCATTTCAAATAGGAGAATCAACTATTTGTTTTTATAATTGACTATATTGTGATAAACTATATTAACTAATCGTTATGCGGACAACGCCAACTGCTGGTGGGTTAACTAAGCTGCAATCTGTTCTATTGATGGGTTGGAGAGAAGAGTAGATTTAATAGAATCATAATAAGCACCTAAAACCTCCTTACTATGAAGCTACACATACACGGCTTAAGCCCTCTGTGGTTATGCTTAATAGGATGGTGGATGTTGAGTTTTAGCTCTTACTATCAAAACATCGTGTAGGCCTTGAGGGCTAATTCAGAAGGCCAGTTTACCCACCGTATACATATATATATTTATATCTCTATATAAGGCAACAACATACATATAAGGGCAAGAGATATAAAAACGGGTCATAGTTAATGAATTCATCTTCTGCTTCTTTTTTGCAACTAAATCCCAATTGGTTGACTCAGTTCAGCTAAGACTCCATTTGTCATACAGTTTTTTTTGTTTCGAAAAAAAGAGAAGCAAAAAATGGAATTGGGCTAATCTATAATGGCATCTAGGTACATATGATTGACTGTCTTCATCAGGTATTTCAGTTTTAATCTACTTTACCCTCAATATACATACTCTGACTATACGTATGATTTACAATGATTGATAAGAAAACGTTCTCAGGCGGTGAAAAAATGATTTTTCGTTTCTCCCATATCTCCACCCATATACTGTACGCACGTGCAGTAAATATATTATCACATGAGTAGTAACTTTTTTTTCAACTTCTAGAACCTCCAATAAATTATATTTCTATTGTTGTTTAAGTTCATCATTCACACATCATTACCACCTACTGTGATAATATTTGTTTTGTGACAGACTTCACGTCAATCATTATGCTAATGAACCTGCCGTGAAATATTGTATGCCTGCTTGATTATTCCATTTAAACCGAATGTCTGCGCATGGTGCGGTTGCATTTTATTACTCAATGGTATTTGAAAGTTATTTTGTATTTTATATCTTAAGGTGTTATTTGTTTCATTCATATTTGAATAAACTATTTTGATTCAAGCTTTTCATAATGTGTTAATATAATTATTTTGTTTTCTAATGTAATTTTATATATAAATGTTACTTATTAGGACAATTAGTATTGTTATTGGGTGAACGGCTGAAATCTACAGGTGACAGATGGGCTAAGACATTGCCTCTTCTTCCTTTTCTTCAATGTATCTCTCAGATTGACCTGATGCCAGCTTCAGAGTCACTTTAAGCGTTTCACTGTTTGCAAGATGCATAATGAATGAACGGTAATGTCATTATGAATCAGAAAACAGATAAAGAAAGAAACTGTTGTTTCAACATGTTGAACTTCAAATGTGAAGAGAGCAAACGGATGACGAAAGTTGATCGAAATTTAAAGTAAAATAATATGAGAACATGTAATTTCCTGTCTTGAAATCAGAAGATCTATGCTTCAGGACATGTACGCCATATGTGGAAACTGAGAAATGCTCCTCCGTACTTTAGTGTTTGAACAGCAATTTTTGCGCCAAAACTGATATTTGAAAGATAAGTTTAAAGGTTGGATAAGATGATTTATAAAATTTTAATTGTTAATTCATTACTGTTAGTGCTTTCTTATTCTTAACGCACAATAGACATATGTTTCGTTTAGTATGTGTAATGAAGATGAGCTCAGATGATCTCCGATTCCATTTCCGTCATAATACAGAAGAAATTGGACGACAAAGACAAAAGGCAAGTAAGAAATGTACGAACAGATTGGTGAAGAATGAAAAGACTTATCTTGAAACTACATGTAAATTGGTTAATAAGATTGTTTTTCTTCGCTGAATAATTCAAATCACGTTTTGGTCTCATATTATTGAATACTGTTGCTATAGATAGAAGTGAACAAGTCTTGTAATTCAACAGACATATTGGAAAGCATGAATACTTGCTGCCAAGAATGACAATTGACTCTGTCTTAATTGATAGTGAACAACATCTGCTTGATTTTGAGGTGAATTTCAGCGCATAGCTATATATGGTGGGGTTGAGTAATGGATGCTTCTGTTCTTTGTGTGTTTGGCTTTCCATTCTCCCAGGAGAGAAAAAAAAGTAAATTATTGAATGCAAATGATCTCTTTTAGACTGTCAAAATATAAAGAGAAGTGAAGGATAATTCAAGAATGAACGACATGAATGAAAATAAAGAAAAACGAAAAAGGAATATTGGTTGTAAGCTGAAGCTATAATAGATATCCATGACGCTATTATTCAGATGGCAAGTTAAAAGAGAAAGTTAATCGGTAGAAATATCAAGAACAATGGATGCCACACCTGTCAGCCATTGAAACTAAAAGCTTCGCTTAGAAATTTGAATAATAATTTCTTTTAAAACCCGCTATTTCCATTTGTGGAATATAGTATAAATGAAAATCTAAACGAATGTTATATTCGCAGTAAAGCCATTGTATGTAACAGTCAAATCGGAATAGAAACGGAGAGTCAATGAGTTAGTTGATGATTCAAATGATTTTTCATTCTCTTCAAAGCTACCAGCGAATCTGTAATGTAGCATATGGATGATATGAATGAGACAGGTATCTTACTTGCTCAATCGTTTAGATTTAATATTTGAACCATCAAATACCTCAAGATAGTCGCAACAATCTTCTGTACGAATTGAACCGAAATTCAGATGTACTCTGAAGAAGTCATGTTTATATGAAAACAATTTGTTAAACAGAATATGATAAGAATACGATAGTTGTAATCGGATTATATAAGCAATTGATTACTTTTTGTTCTCAGGAGCAAATATTGTATAAATACAAGTTGTGGATAATGGGTAATGATGAGGATAGTATGGTGATGTAATCTAAAAACTTCATTTTAAGTTTCGTTTACGCAATGAACGGTTGGTCTGCTTTCCATTGTTTGGAAATGTATCATGGAGACCGATCGAGTTAAAGCTAAGACATTCTATGTTGTTACCGTTGACTCGTCATGAATATCATGGTTATTACATCCAGATGCTGACATCGAAGGTATGTTCATAGACGGCAAGGAATCTATGATGAAAAAAAGTTTTTTACTTTTTATAGAGAAGAAAATGCATTTGACTACCTGCTGCATATACAATGATAGATATGTACAGAAGTAGTTTTAAAGAGAGCATCATTTTGGAGGAAGTGAAAACGAAATGAAGTTTTGCTTTTTAAATATTGATATTCGGAGTCCTCGATACTCGTGTCACGCCCCTATGGGAGCGATTGTTTGTACAGTTTTCGATAAGACTAATTATCATTTGAATATATGGAACTTCCTCAAATTTGTTTCATTTTGCATAACTCCACGAATACTTACTGTTCCAAAAACGTCTACACTCGAAGAGGATAATCAGAAGAATGGTTAACTTAAACCATAAAACGATAAAAAAATATCTTCAAAGTAATTTTTTAGATGTATTTGGACCATAAGATCACTAAAATCCGTACAGAGGGGTTATTACTTGTTTATTTGGAGCACCTTTAAAAATATATTTAACCCAACGAAATGTCTGCACGCTGTTTACAACGCTAAAATCATCACTCCATCTCTCTATGAATTCAAATACATTGTATAAATTGTCATGATTTTCTTGTCTTTTCTTTGTACGAAATAATTATTTTTTCTTCAGGTTGATAGAAGAACTATCAAACTCACTTGAAAATGGTTAGTTTCTACTTGTATTTCTTGTTTTATAGTAATTTTCTAGGCACGCCGTTATGATAGTCGTACTACTATCTTCTCCCCTGAAGGACGTTTGTACCAGGTATTTCTTTAACTTGTATGTTATTTCAATGTCATGTTGAATACAGGTTGAATATGCTATGGAAGCTATCAGCCATGCTGGTACATGTCTAGGAATCCTTGCTGAAGATGGAATCTTAGTAGCAGCTGAGAAGAGAAACGTCCACAAACTCTTGGATGACTCTGTATGTGTTATTATATAAGTCAGAAAATTATTTTCTTCTTTAGGTTTTGGCTGAAAAGATCTACCGTTTATCGGAGAATATCACTTGCACTGTTGCTGGAATCACTGCTGATGCTAACATTCTTATTAACCATTTGAGATGGTAAGCTCATAGTGGAGAAGTAGACTGATCAATGTTTTTAGGTGGGCTGCTAAGTATAAGTTGGACTACGGCGATGAGATGCCTGTTGAACAACTTGTTCAGACTCTTTGTAATGAAAAGCAGAGATATACACAGATTGGAGGTATAGTCGTAGCATTTTTCATCCAGTAAGATAGTTTTGTAGGAAAACGTCCGTTCGGAGTTTCACTTCTGTACATGGGATGGGATAAGCATCTCGGATTCCAACTCTATCAATCCGATCCTTCTGGAAACTACACTGGATGGAAAGCAACTTGCATCGGAAACAACCATCAGGTCAATTTGTTCATTTAATCATTTTCATAACATTCAATTTTCAGGCTGCCGTTACCTTGTTGAAGCAAGAGTACCGTCAACCTACTCTTGAACAAGCTAAGCAATTGGCCGTTAAAGTTTTGTGGAAGACTCTCGATGTGAAGCTAGCTCCAGAAAAAAGTAGAATATATTTTATATACAAGTTATAATTCTATTTTGTTTCAGTTGAAATGTCCGTCCTCACTCGCCGTGACGGAAAGACTGTCGTTGAAGAAATCTCTCATGAGGAACTCGAACGCTTAATCAAAGTTCAAGCTGATAAAGAATTAGAAGCTGAACAAGGCGAATCTAAGTAAAAATAAACTGGGGGATAAGAAGATATTCAACACAAAATCATAATTAAAACTACAAAAAAATACAATATGAACTTCTTCGATTTTGTGAGCTGAAACCAGTGATCTTTGTTAACTTGAGAACGAGTTCCAATTGTGTTCAAGCGTGTGTATTTATTTAATTTTTCAATAAACTATTCGTCTTCTACTGTAGTGCCTTTCGAAATTAGTGATAGAATATTCCTTTTAATATCTCTAAAAGCTTTCCATGTAGGAAACCCTTGTGTTGTTTAGATGATCATGGGGGAAACGGAATTGTTGTTTTTGCGATTGCTGGAACGTTCAAAGAAATTAAGCCGTACTGATCTTTCTAATAATATTTTTAAAATTCAATCAAATACCCAACTGCTAACCACTTTACTATCTCAAATGCAGGATGATAAGAGTTCTCACAGTACTGACGTTTTACTCAAATATGCCAGAGAAGTAAATCAATTATCAATGCTAATTGAAACAGAACAAAAGGTTCTATTTTTGCTTCTCCCAAACAAAAGTTAATTTTTTTTCAGAAAACAGCAGTAGAGAAACTTAGTCACATCCAGCGGATACCGAGACGGTTTCCGGATTTCAATTCTGATTCCACAAAGGATCAAGAACGTTTTCCTGTTCCCGTTTGCAGTTATTTTTACATGTGTTTTCAGTTTCTTCAACTGCGCAAGTCATTTCCGAGTCTGCCGCTGGAGTTCGTGCAAGAAACAGAGCCGTGTATCAAGCTGATTTGAGAAATCAACTCTTAGGAGAAGATAATCGTAGAAAGCATGAAGGTTTTGTACTCAGGAGGTCACAGTGTATACTTTAAATTCTCAGCTGCCGATCAGGATTTGGCTTTCCAAGAAAAAGTCCAGGAAGAACTGGCGGATAATTTATTAACCCTAACACGCTCATTAAAAGAGAATATGAAAGCTGCAGGCAGCATAATAAAGGATGATAATAAGGTAATTCGGTCGTTTTCGACTAAATTTATGTTACATTTGCAGCGATTGACGTCGATGTCTTCCCAAGTCGATTTAAATAAGGACAAGTTAACCATAGAAGGAGAGAGATTAGCAAAACACGCATACAAATGCGGATTTGATTGTTTATTAGTTTTCATTGCTTTGTTCATTTTCTGGTCCTTCATTTGCATGGTTATCATCATGAAAGTATTTCCTAAACGGGTATCTGTATGAGGTTACTGCATATTACTATTCTGTGATTGTATTAAACTATAAGCTTAAAGAGGTTGTTGTGATATTTTCTAAGCGGGTTCTCTGTTTAAAATAAAAAGAAAGTAAGTCTACTGAAATAATCATCGCGTAGTACTTTCGGGTAAGTTCTGGCAGCAACTTATTTATTTATCCAATCTTTTGAAGAGAATATTCTTTTTTCCTCTCTTCTTTTTGTTTTTTAATCTTATTGAAACGTTGTAAGAATATTTCATTGTTTTTCAGTTCTCCCCTCCGCCTTCTAGAGATGCAACTGTTACTCAACACTCAAAAACTCCCTTTCACTTAAAATGTTTAATATTCCTCAGTCTTTTGCACTGCAGTATTCAATATTTCCATATTAGACTTGATGCCATCCCAAATATTTGGCCCTTCCGCCACGAACTTTTTTGAGATCTGACCTTCTCACCACTTTCGCAATTGCGTGAAGCTCTAGCTTATGAAGTTTTGTTTTTTCCCAACTTTTTTTGTTCAAAAATCTAAGTTCTAGCTCTGTCGAGCCTTCTCAGTCGGGTTTTCCATTTTTATTGTTCTTCAGATAGTCTTTGTTGCTTCCTCTTTGCGGAAATCACAATGAGAAGACTAATAGCTTGATCCACGAGTACTCACCAATGATAGACAAGTGATGTGCAATTGCGATTCTGCCAAATTCACGTTACATTTGGAAGCTCCCTGGCTTATTGGAAAATGCTTGCGTAGGATATTCAGTATATCACGTGTATTAATAGAAGTTTATAGGAAACAAGGTGGTAGATGAACCCGGAACAAGTAACAAGCAGAGGAGCAACCGTTTCGTAGGTTTACATCAGGAAAAAATGATTCACGCGACTTGAACGTGGCTTGTTTTGAATTCAAATATATTCTAATTCTATCCGGGAGAGAGAAAAAAAGGAGGCAGCAATACGGTTCAAGCAGGTAAACTAAAGTAATGTCAGTTGATTTAGAAAATGTAATTTAGAAGAATGAAGGAATAGAAATGTGTTTACAACTTTTCTTTTCTGAATCCTTTTCGTATTTGTTTTTATTCTTTTTTTTTAATTTTCTGCAGTATTATTGCATATAATCATCGGTTCATTCATCAAAAGATGTCTTCCAATTATATTTTCATTGTTTTGTTTTGGATGGAGTTAATGTAGAGAAAAGGCATACTATATATCATATGACTGCTAAGGTTAATCTGTAGTTCGCTCTCATGATCTACTTTGAAGCGCTTCTTGTGACTATACCTCATGCTTTGAGTCCTCCTCTTTCTCACCATCTATTTCTCTTTTTCTCTTTTTCTCTCGTATATCCTCCTTGCTTACTCCGGCTTTCTCTGTAATGATGCATGTTCTGCTTAATGATTGTGTTCTCACTCTTCATTCTTCTCCTTGTTCTTCTTCTTCTTCTCCTCGTTTTCTGCATTCTCTTCTTCTCTTGTTACATTTCCCTCTACGTTGAGCATGAACGGTCCTACTTTTTTCTTTTTTCAAATTTTAAATTTCAACTTTAAAAATAAAACGAGCAGAATAGATGAGCAAAGAGTGAAGCTGTTTGACGAAATTATAAAATAAATCGAAAAGTTTTAGGAAAAGAGGGGATGAGAAAGGATTGGAAGAGAGAAAGTGAAAGAGAGAGAGAGAGAAAGCTGAAAAGAGGGCTGGATGGTGGTGGAAAAACCGTTAACCCTTTCTTTCGACTTTATTAGACTAGAAAATGACCAACTATGATTCTATTTCCGTTTCGAAAGCCTTTGTTTTTCAGTTTGTCAAAATCCGTAACAGCTGGTTTGTCTGGCGAACCTTCTATGTATAAGCCTGAAAATTTATTAATCAATTTCGTCTTACTTCTTCTACTCCTCCCAAACACTTTTCTTCTTCGATCATTCGCCTTCTCTCTTTGGCTTGTTATTTTGATTTTAATCCCGAAACATCGCGTTATTGTTTTATAGCTAAATTTTGTCTGTTTTACGACTTCCAACAGAGAAATTTGAGTTCATGAAAGTTTCATCCAAGAATTTTATTGTGAAGGGACAAGTTGGTTTAATTGAGCGCCGAAAGCTACAACTTCCGATCGTCCTAATCTTACGCAATGAGTGAACTATAAAAAAGGATAAAGCTGAGAACAAAGAGTATGAAAGAGAGTGTGAGAGAAGGAGAACGTTTGAAGAGAGAGAGAAATAGAGAATGGAAAAGGAGGAAACGCATTTTTGAACAAAAAGGTCGACATTTTCAAATTTTTTTCTTCTTTTTCTTCTTCTTCTTATTACGTCTTCAAGTTCATGGATCTGTCCATGATTAGTTTCTCTTAATTTTTCTTTGTTGCACTAGGCTTCTCCAAGAATCCCAAAATGTTTTTGTTTCAAAAATTTGATTTCGAAGAGAAAGAGAAAAAAAAATGGAAAATCGACGTGTCAAAATAAAATATAATATGTAGAGAGAGAGAGATTGAGGAGAAAGAGAGAGAGAGAGAGAGATAGAGAGAGAGAGTTTAAATAATAGAAAATCACGTTTGGCTTTCTCCTTTTACGTGGGTGGAGGCAAAAACAAATGTTTTTCTATCAACTTATTAGACCTCTGAACACTTACTGATCATCCAAGCAGTTTCTTATCCTACTTGATTTGTAACTTTTAAAGAGTTTTCGTTATTCCTCTCTAAAATTCATGCTTCTCTGCTTCCATAAATGAAGTACATTTGGCTATTGTGCGGAACATTTATGAAAACCAATCGAAAAGCCTACTGTGACAAAAGAGAAAAGATCTCGTTGTTCAGTTCTCTCTCTATCTGTGTTTCTCTCTTTTTCTCTCGATCTCTCCCTCCTTCTCATTCTTTTTCTCTTCTTTACAACCTTTTACCTCTTTATCCTTGATTCGCTTTGATTTCTTTGACTTTCCACTAACTGCAAGCATTACATGAGAAAGTCTTTTGAGATCTAGGCAATAGCTCAATTTCTTGTTTTCTCTCTCTTTTTCTTATTTTGCGTAAACTTCCTTCAATTGACTTACGAAAGTTGTGTCTTTTTCAGCTCATGAAGAGTTTTCTATGTATTTTTTCAATTCTTATACCGATATCGATATCTTTTCCACATCAATTAGCAGAAGATTGGGTGTCCGGAAATAACTCTTTTACATCTAGTACAAATGGCACGTCAGATGAGGATAGATGGACAGAAGAACAAAGGTTTTTACTATTCCCTTTCTTTGTTTCATATTCTTTTTTTTGCAGATTATTATATTATTTACTTCGTAATTATGAAAAAGCTGTACGACCTGTACGCAACGCGTCAGCCACAATCACTGTGCGCTTAGGGATGACAATGACAAATATTTTTGATATGGATGAACGTAACCAAGTTTTAACCATAAACGTCTGGCTTGATCAAGTGAGTATTCAAATTTTTTGTTCACTTAATCTTAAAACTCAATTTAAGGAATGGAATGATGAACTGTTACGTTGGAATCCACAAGACTTCGGTGGGATCGAATCTTTACGCATTCCATGTGACCTTATCTGGCTTCCAGATATTGTTCTGTACAACAAGTTAGATATCTTCATATTTATTATATTTATTACGTATATATATTCATTAAGTGCTGACGACTACACAGCCGGGTACATGCGATCCAGAGCTATGGTTCTATACACCGGAACTGTTTTTTGGCCACCACCTACACAACTACGAAGTACTTGCAAAGGTTGTGTTGACGAGGATTTGGTGTCGTTCAGAGTAAAACACAAACATTTCAGTTGACGTTTCTCTATTTCCATTCGATGAGCAGAAGTGTTTTTTGAAGTTTGGCTCGTGGACTTATCATGGCTTTCAAGTTGACATAACTAATCGAAGTGACAATATCGATCTGACTAATTACGTTCCATCTGGAGAATTTGAATTAGTTCGAGTATGTTTCATCCATGTTCATTTATTTACATATACACTTTAAGGTTTCGCAGAAGCGTCGTGTTGTCAAATATACATGTTGTCCGGAACCTTATCCAGATATTACGTTTTTCATACACATCCGAAGAAAAACTCTGTTTTATTTATATAACATTGTTTTTCCTTGCCTGATGATGTCCGTACTCACTCTTCTAGGTGATGAATCTCGTCAATCTGTTCAATATTCTCTCTCTTTCCAGTTTTTATGCTCCCACCAGATTCAGGAGAAAAAATTGCTCTGGGAATAACAGTTTTACTCGCATTTTCAGTAATTCTATCTCCCGTATTCTATGTCATTGCAAATTTGCAGGTGTTCGTCTTGGCGATTGCTGAAAAAATGCCCGAAACATCAGATTCTATGCCTTTAATTGGAATTTATTTGACCGTCGTTATGGGTATGACTTCTGTCTCAGTTGTGATGACTGTCTTGGTGAGAGTGCTTATAGAAATATCCTCAATTGTTTTTTCCTTCAGGTTTTGAATTTTCATCATCGTGGACCTTTTAATGAGCCGATCCCTTATTGGGTTCGTGTTATGATTCTCGAGAGACTTCGTAAAATTCTTCGCATGAAATTGCCATCACCTGGTTTGAATCTTGAATCTCTGTTTTTAAGTTATTTCATCCGTTCAAGCTGACAGTACGAACATCAACTCTATCTATTGCCCTAATGGTGGAAGTATAATGAGAAGAAAATCTGTGAGGGTGGCAATGGATGATATGAAAAATGAAGTTATCAATGAGATGGGTCCTGATCTGCTGCTTAATGGTGGAAATGAGGCTGCCCTCAACTGTCAACGAGTATACTATACATTCTTCTTCTGTTTTGCATTCTTTCGTTCTCAGAAGAGGACAGATTCACTTCAAGTTCCTGGGCAGACAGAAGTGATATTGGATGGCAATGGAATAACTAGAAAGCGTCGTCGTAGTAACGAAGAAGTTCAAACAAAACTGATAAAGACGTTACAAGTAAGCATCTTTATCTTTTTTTTTTTATTCATGTTTTCAGGTTCTAATACGAAGGCAACAAAAAGAGGATGATAGTGAGAAAATGGCCAATGAATGGCGACAAGTCGCTCAGGTGAGAATATGCAACTTGCAAAGTAAACTTATTCACTGCTGTAGGTGATTGATCGGTTATTGTTTTGGATTTTTCTTGTAGCGACAGTTATGATAACAAGTATCTTACTGGTCTTTATCCCAGCTATATACAGACCAAGCAAAGAATTTGAAGATGGGTAAACTGTTTTAAATCAATTCAACCAAAGCGCTGTGTCATAACCGCACTGACGTAGAAGAATATTCTTAAATGCATGTCTCTGTGAGGGACGAAAAATAATTACTTTAATAACAGTAGATGCTCTTATAATACGGGTCTTTCAACGGGTTTTAACTGTTTGAGATATATATTTGTATTTTACTACTGAAATCAGAATTTTAATAAACTTTTTTTTTAATTAGTTCGCGTTTGAACGCTACTTTGCCACGTAGCACACGTGTTCCACGCTTTTTCATTTCACATTCGCATTATTCGAGAGCGGTTGCATAAGTTCGAAATAGGATTTTTTTCAATTCAATTTTCAATTTCATCATTGCAGATCTATAATTTTGTGAAAGAAAATTAACTCGTTGCACTATTGAAATATAGGAGATCATAGATTATTAAACGGTTCTGGTCCTATACGAGCATATTAACAGCGCTCATCACAGTGGTTCAAGATCGCAGTCATTTAAAAATAGAGTTCGTTCAAATATCAATATGGGGATGTAGCGTAGTTTTCACAGAGAATGTGAGATTTTTATATAAGACTATACCTTTTTATACATAACTGAATACAAACAGGAAGCATATGACAGAAGGTAACTAACTTAGTTTTATATTAGATTATAAAGATTTTATACAATGCTTTCTACACAAGCTTAGTAGGTACGCGAGAATTTGACAATCTTTGAGCATAGATGAAGGATCAAGACAGCAGCTTTTTATCTACCCGGACAACTCACCTTCTACAGTGAGTACGTTAGACTATTATACTCGAATAATTATGTTTGTTATTACATAACTAGATAAAACATGTCTTTCAGACCAGAATAAACGTTGGAAAGTTGATAAAAGTGTAAATTGAGGTGAATGTGAATGGAAATCTAAATATCGAAATGCCCCACTTCACGAGGATATAGGATGACGTCACGATGTACAGGGAAAGAGAAGCACGGTAAGAACCAAGACCATACCGATCCTAAAATATCATTTTTTAGGCACAATTTTTACCAAATTTCTACCTCCGCCACAAACTTCTCTTAATAGCGCTACTCGACTTCTCCTTCGCGCTCGCTTATATTGTTTACGTCCTCTCCGCTGAGTTGCTTCGACAGCAGTTTCTTCAGAAAATATGGCATTTAACTACAATATTTTGCTAATTAACTAATGAATTTGAGAGCATAAGTATACTTGATCACATGAGACGGCTAGTACGAACATTCCAAATAAGACACTTTCCATTGAAAGAAATATAGTATGTAACCTGTAAAGACAATGATAATCGATAATGTTTCTTGCTCGGGAGTTCCTTACACTTTGGTATGATGTGCATTCTCTCCATACGGCCCTTTCATTCCTGTTGATGCATACTCATCATCATAAACCCATGAAATTATTATTAATCTGAAAATTTTTAACTTTACTCTAACACAAGTCGGAACTTACAAAATGCTGTAAAAACTTGTGACTCCAACATAAAAAAGAAATTGTAAGAAATATTTTTGATTAAACTCTCCGACGCAATTATTTACCCAGGGACCTTGAAGTATCAGTTTTTGATTAGAAATAAGAGCATTATCTTACAATGATGATCCATTCTCCTGATACATCGTTTGCAAACTCGACAGTGATGTGCTCGTGGTGGACGAAAGGATTGACATCGTGTGCACATAGTCCAATCTTCTCCTCCCTATAAACTTTTAATATTCTAACGTCTGATAAGGAAAACATACTGCTGCTAGTTTTTCTCGTAAAAATACAGCATCAACTTCACTTTCACTGTCTTCATCTTCTTCAGAAGAAGAAATCATCCTTCGATTATGAACTCTTCAAGCAGAATAAAAAAATAAAAGAAATGTTCTGTAATTCCCACTTGGTTTTATTAATCGGTACGACTCCGGGATCCGTTAACATCACACGGAAATGGGCGAATAAGGTTAGGAAGAGGAGAGTGTTGAAAATAGTTAAATGAATAGCAGCCCACAGCCTGTGAAGAAGCAGTGAGTGGGTAAGAGCAGAAAATAAATCTTACGTGTCACCGAATATAGGAGTTACCAGCCAAACAGCCACAACATAATCAGCATATCCAATACTCATATAGATTAAAAAAACGCAAACTATACCACAAGGATCCATTTGTATGACTTTTTACTATATTTGGTTTCATAAAATCATCCCATTGCGTGTCTGCAATGAAGAAATGTTGGTTATAATTCAATAAGATATATATGCGAGCATCAAAGAATCAGCGCTGAATGCTTAAAACCGAAATCAAACTTTGCAATAAGGGGAAGAGGAACAAGCTGAGCACTTGTTCGACAAATTCAGCCTATCGATGTTGCGTACAGCACGTCTCGTGTTTTCAAGCACACGGCTTATCTGGGTATTCTTGACGTGCCTTAAGCTATGTTTAATATTCTTCGAATCAGTTGCTATCTTTCAAAG